ATTGCGAACGATTTTGAGCCATGTCATTCAAGGTCTCTAACCATCGATTATTATCATCTCGCGGACCCCAACCAGGTAGTCGACAATTACCGACATGGCTAAGTCCATTTGTCAATAATTTCATGGATTTATGCCATGTTTCGGTCTGGCCGCCCCTAACTTTCTTCCAACCTATTCCTACACTACAAAACAAAGCTCGACGAGGCAGTCGGTGGTTAGGCATACGCAACACATGTCCCAACCACCTCAACTGATGAAGTTTCATTACTTCATCGATCGATCTGCCATTCTTACCTAGCACCCGTTTCCTAATAACAGCGTTGCTCACTCGGCTGTCCCACGATATACGAGCAATGCTTCGAAGACACCTATGATCGAAAACAAGTAACCTACGAATATCTACTCTCACTGGTCATGTTTCACAGCCATAAAGTAAGACGGAGCGAACCACTGCGCAGTACACTCGTCCTTTAGTCAGCAAACGGATATCTCGCCTACACCATAAGTGACGCAGGTTAGGAAAAGCAGATCGAGCTTTCTGTATCCGTGCTGAGATTTCGTCAGTCACCAGGCCATCGGCACTGATGAGACTCCCAAGATAAGTGAAGCGGTCCACACGTTCGACTACTTCACTCCCTATCACTAGTTCAGGTGCCGATGCAACCCAATCCTGAAGCAACATTTTGCATTTCGAGGGTGAGAACCGCATCCCGAACATGCTTGCATTGTTGCTTAGGGTGGTCAGAAGACTCTGCATTTTGTCAGCATCTTCACCATGTAGGACAATGTCATCGGCATATTCTAAGTTAATAAGCGAGCCACTCGGTAGAAGGTCTACTCCTGAAAATTCAGACGAGGATAATGTTATGTCTAGGAGCATGTCTATGGTGAAATTAAACAAGAATGGAGAAAGTGGACATCCCTGACGCACACCACTTGAAGTAGCGAATTCCGATGACAGTTCGCCATAAGCTCTCACTCGACCAGTGGTGTTCGAGTAAAGAGCTTGTATGAGGTTAATGTCAGTCAGTCAGTTGCAACGTAGAACTTCGTACGTATGTACATAAGTTCATGTTGCCATACCACATTATTAGCACAGAGACGCAAACGTCAAATCAAATCCCATAGTGATAAAGATAGTAGAGGTATTAATGTTATAATAAAGAAGACTAGGGTTTAAGATATTATTCAAAAAATATAATTCAGTGAGATAAGGTTAGAAAGACAAAGGTAGAGGTGCTGGCTAATCCAGAAGATCAGGATTTGGGAGAGCTCAAAGAGTGGATGCACCTGCGCCATTGCAAACGATTTTGAGCCATGTCGTTCAAGGTCTCTAACCATTGATGACTTTCGTCTCGCGGACCCCAACCAGGTAGTCTACATCTACCAACATGACTCAGTCCACTTGTCAGTGACTTCATGCATTTCTGCCATGTTTTGGTCTGGCCACCCCTAACTTTCTTCCAACCTACTCCTACACCACAAAACATAGCTCGTCGAGGCAGTCAGTGGTTAGGCATACGTAACACATGTCCCGACCACCTCAACTGATGAAGTTTCACTACTTCATCGATTGATCTGCCATCCTTACCTAGTACTCGTTTCCTAACGACAGCATTGCTTACTCGGCTGTCCCACGATATACGAGCAATGCTTCTTAAACATCTATGATCGAATACTAGTAACCTACGAACATCTTCTACTCTTAACGGCCATGTTTCACAGCCATATAAGAGAACGGAACGAACTGCTGCGCAGTACACCCGCCCTTTGGTTAGCGAACGGATATCACGCCAACGCCATAAGTGACGCAGGTTGGCAAAAGCCAATCGAGCTTTCTGTATCCGAGCTGGGATTTCGTCAGTCACCAGACCGTCAGCACTGATAAGACTCCCGAGATAAGTGAAGTGATCAGCACGCTCGACTACTTCACTCCCTATCACTAGTTCAGGTGCCGAAGCAACCCAGTCTTGAAGCAACCATTTGCATTTCGAGGGGGAAAACCGCATCCCGAACATGCTCGCATTGTTGCTTATGGTAGTCAGAAGACTCTGCATTTTGTCAGCGTCTTCACCGAATATAACTATGTCATCGGCATATTCTAGATCTGTAAGCGACTTTCCTGGTAGAAGGTCAACCCCTGAAAAATCTGTAGAGCTTAATGTTAACTCTAGGAGGATGTCTACAACAAAGTTAAGCAAGAATAGAGAGAGTGGACATCCCTGACGGACACCACTTGATGTAGAGAATTCAGATGACAGTTCGCCATATGTTCTCACCCGACCAGTGGTGTTCGAGTAGAGTGCTTGTATAAGGTTAATGTACTTCTTTGGTACGCCTTTCAATGACAGACACTGCCACAGAACCTCACGATCCACTGAGTCGAATGCCGCCTTAAGGTCCGGGAACACGACTATTGTCGGACGTCTAAATGTGTGTCTGTGTTCCAGGACCTGTCGTAGTGTGAAGATGTGGTCTATACAACCACGTTCAGGTCGAAAACCAGCCTGGTTTTCTCGAGTCTGCTCTTCACGAGCTCTAGTTAGACGTCTAAGTATAATCGAGGCTAACAATTTAGAAACTATATTAGTTAGACTTATTCCCCTGTGATTGTCGCAAGAAGACTTCTGTCCTTTCTTGTAGATTGGGACAATTAGCGACTGAGACCAGTCAGATGGAATTACGTCCATTTCCCAGATTCTACCTAGGATCTCGGTCAGTCTAACCGTTAAAACTGGACCACCATCCTTAAACATCTCAGGGTTAAGCCTATCGGGACCTGCCGCTCTACCTCTCCTTAGATTTCCTATAGCTTTCTCAACTTCATGTAAACCGGGAGGACTTAAATCGATTTGCCATTCAGGATGACTGGAGATCGTGGGCAACCGAAGAGTGGCTGAAGGCCAGTTGAACTGATCCCTAAAGCGTTCTACCCATCGGTCCAGCCTCCTAGATTGAGAATGGATAATAAGACCATCCTTTTCCGAGATAGTCTCACTTACATTCGGGTTCCTAATACCGGTTTCTTTGATAAGGCGGAAAAGTTGTCTAGTGTTGCCTATCGCCCCTGCCTTTTCCATCGCTTTCGCTTTCGCCACCCACCACTGTTCACGGTCGTTACGTGGGCTTTTTATAAGTCTGCACCTAAGCTGACTACGCTCTTCATCATGTTCATAGTCAGGTGTGATGCGTTTTCGAGCATCCATCAGTTCGGTGGATGCGACTGAAGTCCACGGCTTCATCCTAGCCTTGTGGTTTACCTTGCTAGCAGATACCATTGCTGTTTCAACAGCCTTCTTGATATGATTCCAACCTGCTTCAGGATGGGAATCACTTGCATGGCCGCCTAACTGTTTTTCTAGTTCCTCCTGAAATATTTTCTTAGCTTGATTATCATCAAGTAAAGCCCTAAGAGGCTTCCTTACGGTGTCTTTCCTACGTCCAGTAAGCTTCAAACAAATACGCGCTCGCACTAGAGCATGATCTGAATCTAGACATGTGCTCCAGAACGAGCGACAGTCCTCTATCGAACCCCTCCATCGGTGGCTGATGGCGATATGATCTAGTTGTGTCCAACGTTGAGACGACTTCGGGGGTCGCCAGGTCAAAAGGTGTTTTTCCTTATGCTTAAAATTAGTGTTTGCTAGAAATAGTTGGTTATCTGAGCACAGTTGCAGCAGACGGTCGCCATTGTCTGTTCTTTGAGCCGCGAGACCGTAACATCCACCTAGGTGTCTTTCATTTTCACTTAGTCTACCTACTTGTCCATTGAAGTCACCAGCCATTATAACTATATCAGCGCTTAACTTTTTGGAGGAGGTCCGAAAGCTTTCTGTAAAACTCATCTTTTACATCATCTGGGCTGCAGTCAGTGGGGGCGTAGGCTGATATGACGAAGAGGCAACGGCGAGTGTCCCTATCTTTCCGAGTCTTTACTGTCCCGTTGAGTCGGACGGCGCACAAGCGACTATCTACAGGGATCCAGTCAAGGAGAGATTGTTCTGAGGTTAATGTACTTCTTTGGTAACTTGAACTAGAGAATTCAGATGACAGTTCTCCATAAGCTCTCATGGCCAGTGATAGTTCAGAACATTCGTAGGTTATTAATATTCGATTATAGATGTCTTCGGAGCATTGCACAAATCCATGAAGTCAATGACAAGTGAAATGAGTCATCTTGGCAGATGTAGTCTAACTATCTAGTTGAGGTCCGCCATACGAAATTCACCGATGGTTAGAGACCTTGAATGACATGGCTCAAAATCGTTTGCAATGGCGCAGGTGCATTCATAAATTGTCTTCTCTCAAATTCTAACCTAAATTCATCATCCCTATCTTTCTCTTTCTAAAGTTATTTCACTGTATTATACTTCTTGAGCAATATCTTCGCTCCCTAATTCTCTCCATTACTGCTAATACTTCTACTATCTCTACCACTATGGGATTTGAATTGACAATTGCATCTCGGTTCTGATGGGGTATGTCAACCCGAACTTATATACGAAGTTCTACGTTGTATCTGAATGACTCACGTTGACAGAAACCTATTTAATTTCACACTGCAGATCAGAGCTAGCTGCACTGAATTAAAAATCTTATTTTAAAATAATTCAAAGTGTCGGCTTTTAAAACGAGACGGCTTCAAAAAAATGTAGCTGTGTTTCTGGCGTAACTGACTAGATGTAGAAGTTTTTTTTCCGGAAATTTGAAAGCTATTATTTCTTATTTGTAGTTTCAGTTAACTGTATTGAACGAAAATATGTTCATACTAATGAATTATTCATACTGTTACCAAACAAGCTGTTTTTTTGCACAGCATTAATATCCACTTTTTTTAAAACTGCGTTTATAAAAAAACTGGATAGTATCCGGAGTACATCTTCATCACATATTTGGCTATTAGCTATTTAGGTACGAGCAAGCCGAGTTCAAAGTGGAATCGTACTCATATGAGGTACACTTCGCAAAATGTTCATTTTACATGTGTTTATATGTTTTAGCATTCAGTGTGAATCACTTGGAAGTGAGAAACTCAATAAGTTTTTACGCCGTTTAGTCATTTCAAAACATGTGAACCATATTTAAATTTATTGGCTGGTATATTTATGTCTTAAAATGGAGTGACTAATAAACCCGCGTTCTGAGAACAGTTTGGGTGTACTCTTCGAAGATGCAACATGGTTTGAATTATATTCTTCCTTGGGAAATGAGTTCGTTATCTTAACTTTTTCGTCTTTGAAATCAACTTTCATCTGTCAACTAATGTTTACACGTACAAGCGTCACTGAGTCGACATTCGCATACCAACAAACAAATACAAATCTCATCTGTTTGTGTGATACAATGAAAAATATGATTGCTGTTTGTATCTGACAATTGTGCTAATATAATTGATAGAATGAAACGGTTTACACTGATTGGAGGTGAATTGCGTTCAGGTTAGTCTCATTATCAAATGGTGCTTATCGGTAAACTGAGTAGCATTTTTCTGATATTTTCTATCTGGAGCATACCTGATGTGATGGATTTATTTATAAAGGCGTACCCAGCCTGACTTTTCATGATTTACGCGCTTCACACTATCTACATAGCACGTGGTACTGATTACGCTAGGTGGTTCGAGGTTAACAACAAAAACCTCAGACTCAAGTTTTTTGCTATTACACCTTCGTGAGCAATGAGTACCTGTAATCCTCAAGGGACTGATACTTGCTTTTGAGATCCTATCCAGCCTCACTCTAAGGAAAGACAGAGAAGTCCTCTGGTCACAGTAACAGGCTGACTTCGCTCTTTGTCATGTTCAGAGCCAGGCGGGATGCGTTTTAGAGCATCCTTCGGTCCGATGGATGCTACTGAGATTTACTGTATTCCTAACCTTATTAACAGATATCAATGCTGTTCCGACAGCTTTTTGATATCATTCCAAGCTGCCTCGAGATGGGCATCACTTACGTGGCTTCCTAAATGCTTTTCTAATGGTTCTTGAAATATATTCTTAGCTTTGTTATCATTAAGTAGAACGGTAAGAGGTTTCCTTGCGGTGTCTTTCCTACGTCGGTTGGCTGATAGCGATTTACTCTGTTGTCCTATTCGACACAATGTCCGGACAATAAAAGTTCCAAGATAACTGGGCAGGGTTTCAATTAATAATTTATTTTTGTGAGTAGCTGTCACTCGGCTACATCGCATTATCAACAATAATCAATCGATTATCATTATTTTATTGTGTTAATCAAAATTAGTTCGTATATCATAGCGTAATCGACCAAGCTAGGATTCACATACTGTAATTAAAATGATTTATATTTTATTTTTGAGTTCTTTTGTATTCTGCTTGAAAATTACCATTGATTTTTGACCTAAATATTAGTAACCTACTTATAATAATATATTTTATTTCAGGGTAAGTAATTTCAAGTATTGCCATTGAGAGATCAGCGTACAGAAATCATCACAAACAGGTAAGTTATCTAAATGTCGTGATATCCCATTTCATCTGTGAGGCAAATGGTGTAGGTAGATATTGAAGCTAGCTGGTTAGTTGTTATGGTCAGATAACCGAATCTCAATTGCTATTGATTGCATTTAATTTCTTAGATTTGACGGTACCTGAACATTTTTTTCAAACAACTAGCTTTATGAAGTTAATTAAATCTCAACGTATTTGAAATAATACAATCTTGAAAATTACCTCAACTCTGAAACCCAAAAAATGACTGCTGAAATTTTTCATGAAACTGCATTACAGTCAGTCAAAATTTGTGGCATCTCATTGATCAAATAAGAACTTGACTTCGCACAACTTAGTCTTAATACTATGATAGGTATTTTAGCGTTTTGTAGACGTCGGCATGCGATATACGGTTATAAATAAACTTTCATTTGGATTGTTGTTAACCAAACCATTTCAAAAAGTGAGCTTTATGTGATCTGAAGAAACAGTTGTTTCAAAAATTTCCGCTCAGTGCAAAAGTATCTTAGGAAAAGAAAAAAAAGGAACCGAAATATATCATCAGCAGCTTAGAATGTATTAGCTTTCCCATGAATATTAATAAAACTATGTAAAAAGAAAAAGTTTTTCGCCAAACTATCATGGATTAGTGCTTTAGTTCCGCTAAAACATCATAGGATATCAGAATTCACCCCCTATTTCCTAAAATTTGGAGTTTTTAGTATACCTTTTGGTTCAGCCAACCAAAATTCTGGTATCCGGTTGTGATACAACATTATTTCACCCATTTTAATAATCATCATGTTGATTGCATCTCGCTTGGGTCAACACACACCTTTGCCAGTCTCTTGCGTGGGAAATTATTGATTGATGCCACATATATTTAAAGCACCAGTAATTTTTATTGGTTCAAAAATTTCAGATACACGAACTATTAAAATCCTAGAATGTGTAGTAGACGGCATATATGAGTTTGAAACATTAGGAGTACTGTAGAAATCACAAATCGTCGAGCTTGAACAGAAACCATAGTGTTTCGGTGTTCACCTATTGACCAGTAATCTTGAATTAACTCATTTTTAATTCTGATATGAACATCTTGTCGTTCATTTTGTATATACATATTCCATCATGCTTTTTCCTCATTGCTGACCATTTTCACGAACTCCTATTCTCAGCTTTATTTTCTGAATTTGAGCACATTTGTTATATCGTAATATTTTGTTTTACTATGTTCATCTACGCGCTGGTTATACATTTATTCATTAAAATTCTCAAATATTTCCATATTTCTAAATAATTTAAAAATATATGTACACTAATGCACTTCATACAAATATCGTAGTCATTTATGTTATTTGTGGTTCTATCAGCTAAATATGTTACCTGGTTAGTACTAGTTCAAATCCCATGGGAGGCATAATTATTCATGTATTTCATTTCCTAGAAATTCCGCAACGTCTTTGGAGTTTACACAGTTAACATGCCATTGAATAACTAAGATAATAAGCAACAAGTTCAATTACAGTACGATTTATTTGAGGATTATTGATGTTACAAAATGTTTTGTAGTGCTTTGTATTTACCACTAAATTGTAATGATGCAAACAGAAAACACGTCTGAATACTTAGTGGTTTCGATATCGTAAACTTTGGTTTCAAGTTTAGTGGATTTGTGTAAAAGTTCCTATACTGTATTTGTTTCTCTTCCGCAGTGCCGACATAAGATCAGGCTTGTAATGACTAATACAATTAGGTGTTATTACCGAAGGACTTACTTCGCGAACTACTAAAATTTATGGGTTAAATATAACAATTACTGGCGATACCAGTTGTATAGTTATTTCTTTGTTAGGTTCTTACCATAATAAGTGATAATGTTTGCTTATCTGTTAAACATATTTTATTGTTTGGTCTTGCAGAACAACAACCACTAGGATTTCCTCAAATATTCGATAGCCACTTACAGATGATTAAATGCCTGTTGTGCTAGTATCTAATCTAAAACGAAATTGCCAGACAGTACTTCTAGAGGATCTTGGTGAATCTTGCCACATAATGGAAGAAAACTCAGTGGACAATCATCTAATAATGAATCAGTCAGAGCAAGACATTGGATTGAGGCCGTAGTATAAATTTATATTGTTTTGAAATGTATATAATAAGTTTACTTTTTTCATAAATATCGACTATTCGCTATCAACACCCGAGTTTCTTTCTAATATTCCATGACTAGGCGAAACATCTTGAACCATAACAAACCACGTCTCGTAGCTAGTTGGGTAGTCGCCTTCCCACTTGTATATTTATTATGCTTTTAAAACTCTCTAGATGATCAAAGTCATGTTAAATAACATAAATACGCACAATTATCTGTACATACATAACCTTGGAGTAAAGTCTTTCTTGTATTTCACGGACTGAATGTATACTGCTGCAAGTTTAACTTATTGCTAGTGTATCTAACAACCCGGTGTTTACGAGCTGTTTGCCAATTCCTGGGTTTTGGTATCTATATATACAAAGATATTTATAAGTTCGTTTCACAATGTGAATTTTATGACATTGAAAAGGTGATTGTTTAAGCCTCAAGAATTTTCTGTATATCCGTTTTTGACGATGACAACTAATCGTTATCACTAATCTACATTTTCGACTTCATCAGTTTTTATTTTGAAGCCTAAACAGACCTGTATTATTATTTTTGTCAGGTTAACTGCGATATATACTCTTTCCTCTTGCATATTGTGTTTCGTTTGAAATTTTCGAGGAATAAGGTGACAACGTCCCCGTTGCCGACTTGAATGACCTGTCGAACTGCCAGTTACTCCGATACATTGACGATGTATTTATCGGGTTGCCGGAAAGTATAATTGTGAAATGTCTAATTTGTTTTCTTTTGGCCAACCACAATAAACAGCGAGTCAAGTAGACTTTCTTCGTTGTTGATCTGGTTTCTATATTCTTCTTGTTATGATGAGCTTGTTCAAAGATGCGAATCCGGCAATTTAAGGTTTTTGAATAAATGTTCTCATTCGCTGAGATTTGTTTGATTGTTTATATTAAGTGGCTTGATATTCTTTTGTAATATTCAGGAAGTGAGTCAGCTTTATCACGTCTAATTTGTTAGTGAAATAAAGTAAGTTCCAAGCGTTAGTAAGACTTTTCCTTTGTACATCCGAAGTGTATTCGGGGCTACAGATGTCTATCGCATGATCAAGAGATTGATGATATATGGTAAAAATGGTAAAGAACGTATTATTTTTAATGTTAAATACACGATGCGGTCACATTGTTCATGTATCGATCACAATAACAGGATTAAATACTTGAAACATCTTCATTTATAAATTTCTCATGCCTTAATCTAGCGCGTTCATTTAGTCATTCTATAGTCTGTCTGTGAAAAGACCCTAATTGTTACATATAGTCAGTCTCATCTACGAGAAATATTGTGATATACGCATTTAAATAATTACTTGTTCGCTCAAGTCGTTTGTAAGTCACCGCAAAATATGAATTTGAATAATTCGGACTATAAGTACGCTACCGATCCTGGTTAGTGAGTCTGTTTGAAGTTGCTGCAGTAACTCAAAAAAAACCACTTTGAAAAGAGTTTTATAAACTGTCAAACGGACACTAAAGGTATGACGTTTTCGCTACTGAAGGATGAGAAATTTCCTGGATAAATGTCATAACACACAAGTATAAACAATCCCTGTAGTTGAGAGCTATTACATCTGTAGTAACACGCATTGAATCACTAGTTTATGAATCGGTCAATAAATTGAGAAACACTGTTCATTGTGACATAATTAGACGCAATCTTCCTAAATTGATCAGTAACCGTGTTGTCATACACATAAATTCATACCTATTGCATTGAAGAATAGCCTGTCGTTTTGTATTCTTTATATTCATTTTCACACTGACCGATGACAGCGATGTTACTTTCTGAGAACTCGATGAATGTCGACTTCCGAAAATCGCTAACTGATTTGTCCACCTTACGATTCCCTAATGAACTTTTGCAAATGACCAGTAAAAAATAATAAAATTCCTATTTATTGTATAGAGAGTGAGTAATTTTCTCGAAATTTTCTGTTTATATGCTTACATTTATTGAAATCATAATCAATAGTAATGAACTAGCAGGGACAGTTTCTTACGCGATGATCAAGTCATTGTCCAGGTTCACGAAGAACAAAATCCTTTATAAAACGACCATATTTCTTCTATGTATCTACGTTCGTAGACCGTTCTTCAAAGCTATTCTTTTCCACATCTCTTCGAATATTAGTAGAGAACACACCCATTAATCCCATTTCTTCTGCTGTGGCCAATGTGCGTTATGCATAAGACAGAATTTTTAAAGTACATGTAATTTCTGTATTGTCAATTAATATAAGAGAAATACAACTTTCTAAATGGTAAAAATACGGTCTGAAAAACTGTTTCGAAAATTCCTAATTTTCATTAGTAACAAATTCAGGTGTATCTGAGAAATTCTGGATGCTAAAATATTATTGCTACTGATACAACTCACACGGATAGTTGGAGTGCTTTCTTTGACAGCTGGAAATCTGGATCAGCGGACAATGGATCTTGCGGCTCCGAGGCTTTTAACAGTTCATCACACGGAATGCATAACTGGAAGATAGAATTATTTTTGTGGTAAATATCTCTGCAGTAAAGAATAAAGCATAACTATACAAGAACCGATTAATAAGTACTCAATGTTATGTTTTGAACTAATTTTCGGAAACATAACATAGACGTGTATATTTCACTAAATAACTGAGCTGGATGTAATGGGCCAATCTACGAATAATTGACACACGATTACTTATGACGTTACCCAATTCAGGGTAACCCTTATTAAGGCTAATCTACTGGATACGATTTGAATAGTCTTTCCGAGGAAACCTTTAACTCGTAAAGTCATACAAAATTAAAAACCAATTCGTGTAAACCAAAACATGAAAGATTCGCAAGCATTACAGCTTAAAATATACACCAAGCTCCTGTCTAATATAAAAGGCAATATTTACAGAGATATGTGGCGTATGCTAAACCAGCCAAAGTTAATTGTGAACGCGCGGTAAATATGCGATGGGTTGAATGATTAGTCATATTAACTAAGGTGTATATAATCATAGGAACTACTAAAAGAGTCATAACGCTAACAACATAGAGATTCGGCGTAAACATAGGAAAATAAATTTGTCAGAACAAAGACCGTCCAAAAATTAAATTAAGGTACGTGTGTGAATCATCAGTTCAAATATACAAGCTTCGGCGATACTCATATAGGAAGATGAAGCACACACAGTAGAAATTATTAGTAGAGCCGTTTTTCGCTGATTATGGAAGATACAAGGATAATCTAGCGAGAGGCAAGTATGCAAAGACCATTCGATGTATACATCCAATTAGAGTATATTGTGCACACAGGTATTTGTCAATTGTACCACAGTAACAACGTTGAAGCTGTGTAGTGGCATTCACAATAATAAATATGATCCCCTGAAGCCACATATAGACGAGTTTCGTCACCGAATGTTCCGTGACTGTGAAGTAAGGAAACATAAAAGTAACCCCGGGGAAGGTCACTGTTCACGTAAAAATAGTTAAAAATTTTTAATTATTATCAGCTACCTTTCGATGAGATGAAAACGGTAGGTAGAAACAAAACACCGTCTCAAGTATTTTTTTTGATGGTCTTTATGGGGCCATAAGTAATTTTTTAGGCAACCCCATGTTTTCCACGATGTTGAGATCTGTACTACAGTCGAACTGATATCTGTGCAAATTATCATCGTGATTGTGTCGATGAAACTGAGAGCGCTTGTATGCTTGTCAGCCATCTGTTTAGATGTTAGTTCCTCATTTGACATTTGTTAATAATGAGAAATGTGTTGAATTTTTCTGATTAGGAATGCTTTCAAAATGCTTTTTGGACAAGTTTATTCCATATTACCAAAAATCGACTACTTACCCACCCGATTTTCCGGTTTAATTCTACTATGCTCTTTTCTGAATACATTTTAACAATTCTCTCTATACCACCTGCACATAGCGAACGTAGACGCACCTAGTTTATATCATCTTGGTATAATCTGGTGAAATGAATTTTAAATAAACCGTTACATCTCATTCATATATTGAACGAAGTCAAGAAATATTTATCTACGGTTAGACGAAATATATTCGTATTATACACATCTCGAATTTATATTTCAAAATTATATGAAGGAAGCCCCTTTAACTAAACTAATAATAATACTTCAAAATATTATCCGATAACTTACTTCAATATTTCCCGATGGATGTAACGTAATGTAATAAACAATCATCATCACTATGCCCATACAAAAACTGCCCAATACTATGATAAATAAGGTGTATGAATATAAAACGCTGGTCCACGTGGATGGCTGATGTTTGAATACACTGTTTGGAAGACTTGTGTTGGTAAATGAATGTGCTACCCACCACAATGACGCAGATACTGAATTTTCAATACCGAATATCAAGTAACATGATAAATACCACAGTCGGCTTCGACCTTCACGAATATTTACTACGTCAAAACAATAAACTGCACCTAATACAAAATCAAAGGCCAATTCTCTCAATGCTCTTGAATTAGATGAACAAAACGTCGTTCCTCTTGTGATCAACCAACCAGAAGCCAACAACCAATGAATACCAAGCGCTACTGCAAACCAAAGTCCTTTGACAACGGAAGCAAGTATAGCCAGAGCCAATAATCGCGAAGCTAGCACTCCAGCTTTCCAGAAGAAGAAGAATATAATACCTAAAAACCGAATATTTCCTTTTTCAATTCGTGAACTGCGTAAGGCAGATTGATAGTAGGTCAACGACCACGCCAGTGAAAGCCATGAAAACACGCATGAAACAAATTGTGCCGTCACTAGACATGGAAATGTAGAATAAAACACAATAAAGTTCAAAAATAGGAAGCAAATCAATTTTCGCTAAGAGAAAGGAAATTATAGAATATTAATAATTCTTAAGTCTCTTCGTAACAGTATCTAACTGTTCACACGGTAGGTTTCGGAAGATATAGATAGAGGAATTCCTTTCAAAAAAGCAAGTAAAATCCGCAGTCACATAAAAGGCTTTGCAAGTCCGTTTACATAAACAGTTCTCTTCTAGTCTGAGCTTACTAGAAATTCAATTAAATTACATTGTCATAAAAGGTGACTACATTAGTTAATATATCGAAGCGACAAATGAGTGTCGCGCAACAATAACAACCAACGGAGTACTTATAATCTCAAATGTCAGGAAACTGGTCAGGTTCATTATCGATATCAGTGAAGATATAATATCCCACTGAGTATGTTCGAGTAACGTGTATGAATCGAGAATCTGAACATTCAAAACTAGAGAAATGTTCGAACAATGAAAATGATGTTGAGTCAATTGACTGCAACGAATACAGTGTCTTAGTACACTCGTATGCAACTGATCACCAGTTTACATAGTAATTTGTATAGACTTCTTAGTAGCATGGTTGTCGAGACAATTACAGTTGTTATTAGTATTGATGAATCTGGTACTCTTGAGGATAAGAAAATACCTTACTACGACAGAGGGACAAGTGGTTTTGCTTATTTATTTACTTTTCCAAAAGAAAGAGCACATAGCGGTTAAGAGTGTGATGATATCCCAACAGTATTGTGAAGTGGTGGATAGTGGTTTGTTGTATTTTTATCGAAGTGGTATTGAATATTTTTTATGTTGTGTCAACAGTTTCGAGTTCTCCGTAGCTCCTGAATAACTTCGAATTTATGATTCAGCTGTATAGAATACTTTAATACGCTGAAGATTTTAAGGATGCCATGGTGAGTTCAGCTATTGAGACATTTCTCAAAGTGATTAAGGCACAGGTGGACGTGTACGTGTACTGATGTAAGCCCTACCAGCTTCAGAAATGTTCGTATCGGTTTGTTTGAATGTTGTGATTGCATTCTTTTTTTGTGCTCTGTGTGGTACGAAGCTGAAAAGGACGCACACCTTGTTTATGTGAACACCGATAAGCAGTCAAACGCCAAGACCTGTGCTATAGCAGGTATAAAAGGAGAAGGTAGGTAACCCACGATAAACATTCGCTTCATACTGTCTTAAGTGACTGGCCAGTTCTTCATCAAACGTATCAACAATCTTTTTATTTTCACCAGGCTAGAAGTCCCATTCTTATTTTTTAAGTTGACATTTCTCAAGTGTGACCAGCTGTATAAGCAGCAGGCGACATTGCTGGACTGTCTATTCTTTCCACTTCTAATTGATCTCGCCACATGTGTTCATTTAGCAGTGACACTTTCTTCGCCTGATAATTTAGGGATTGATAGCCTACTAAGAGATTAATTGGTGGACTTAAAATGTACAGATGGAAGTTCTGGTCGGTGAAACACCTCGATGAAACATAGCCTTCTGGTCATCTTGAGCAAAAGTGTAACATGTTTCTTTAGAACTGGTTTGTGTCGACGCCTGTGATCCGAGGACAGGGATTAAAGTAGTTAAAATTCGACCTCTTAACTTATCTTGGAAGGATCATCAGCATTGTGTTGGTGGCCGACAAAATCGGGACACGAGTTTGAAACATTTGCCCGATTTTTTACCAGCTTGCATTACTTATGCCTATCTGCCGAACTTGAAGCGATTTGTCATTCTACTTAATGTCTCATATATACTCTTCAGAGGTATGGAACATATATGCTTGCAAGTATATGACTATGGGTACCTTTGAGACATTGTACTCATATATTAGGACCACCGGGTGAGAAACGTTGAAATTAAACTCAGTAAACTATGAGGAAGTTGTAAGCCATCAGTTGAAGTGGTTTATACAGTAACTTGATATGTGAAGACGACAACGCAATTCATTTTTTCCCAAATTTAAAATATTTCTGAGAGTAGAGGGATACATGATTTTCATAAAATAGTTGGATTTCAAATTCAGCGGTAACTTTTCGTCATTCTTCTCCATCTGTGAATGAAGTATACGAAAAAATCTGGGATACAGAAAAGCAAGCCGATAAATCAACGTGTAGTTCTATTGAGCTCTAAAGAAAATATAGTTTTAGTAAAAGGGACTGAGAAGTCGCTCCGAATACTTTACTATTAAATAAATCAAAGTACTTTAGCTTTCGTAAGGAATAGAAGAAACACCCACAATCGAACTTGCTGTACGACCAACTCACGAATATCCCCTACGGTATTAGTGCTAAGACCGAACTGAAACAAGTGTTTGAGAGGATGTTCAGAGGTACTTATGATTTTATAGGTCACTATGTAGCCACCTCTGAGTCGCCCATACTCTGGGGCGTGTATATTCAGTATTTTCAATTGGTTTTCGTCGTACATAAACTCAAGGCCACGAACTTGTCTGGAGGGTCATCCTATGGAGGTTCTCCGAAGTGCTTCTATTACTTTTGAGTAAAAACCATGTCTTCACACTCTAAGTGAAGCCGAACGAAAGTATTAATAACTAGATGGAAAGTTTCACTATCAGACTGGCCGAAATTGTTTCACAATTCAGAGTGGAAGTCGGAATCATAAACTGGAACATCAGATCTGAAGATTTATATTGCTTGACTAGTATGTGCAACCAGAACACGAAATAACGCCCGACTCTGCGTTGAGATACAACAAACGAATAAATTGCCTACTAAACTGATTGTTCAAAAATAATGCTACAAATTGCTGACGCGTCCCAGAATGATGAATAATGTCATCGACGTGTCGAATTGTTCCAGTCTGTAACAATAAATACTGATGAGTATGTAATTCTGTTTTATTTAGCTTCAATAGAGCCGTTCAATCTGCTCCTGTTTAACGGGTGCAGGTATGACTCTTGAAGGAAAGGAATTTCAGCATAATCAAACAATGACCAATAGAGTCAAACTCTGAATTATTTGACAAATATATAACCCATTATGAGGAGAACGTCATTAACCTCGATTTTTCGCCAACCATAAGTAAGTGTTAACATTGTATTGGTTTTAGCTCCAATAGTGTTCTCAACAATAATGTGCTGCATTGCTTGCATTCAAAATCGATTCCTTTGTGCATTATTATTCAGCCTAATATAAGAAGATAATCGCATGTTACGGATACGTGCACACAACTTGTATCAATGGTAGAAAACAAATCGAAAATTCCTTCGGAATATGCATGAAATCACTAGTCCACCAACTAGCGATAGCGATGTATGTTCTCTTTATCTGTATCTCATGTACATAGTTCTTCTGGTAAGACTTTATCTGTTCTAAAAAGGTTCTTGGGAAGCAGAGTGAAATTTTCATCAGCCTAGAATGGATTGATCTCACAATTTTTTAAATATCATGACTTTAACATTAGATAAATTAACAAAATTAATCCCTATCGAGTCAGTCTATTGGAGCAGATCAAGACTATTATTAAATGCTTAAAATTTACTGATATTTTTTTACTCGTAAGAGCTACTAAGTCTTATCCATAAAGTGGTGCTAATAAAAATCAAGTGAATATGACATGTAAAACATTAGAAGCAAATACAAGAGACAAACTTGGAAGTATTTATACGGTAACTCAAACTTTATGGAAACGAACTTACTATTTGTTTATAAGTATAGTGCATTTGTGGAGATTATATTATCTTCATAGTGTAAATCACAAACTGACCTTATAAGTCGATAAAAATGAGTTAAACAAAACCTCTCAGGTATAATGGTATATGAAATTGCTTAAACCAACCTTTAAAAAGAACTCACATAACTACTGCTGAAAGAATATTCTCTCAAAACTTAAAGAACAATATATTACTTAACAATACAATGTTTGTGGAGTTATAAAAAATATAAGTATAATTTACTGGCAACTGCTAAACGGCAGATTCGAACACGTTAGTATCACATCAAATTCAGATAGTATTTTATTGTTATATTTGTGCTTATTACACATAATCTTATCGACTAGCAATATGGTGAGCACCATAATGAACACATTCAAGCGTTCGGGAAAAATGAAACTTGAATGAAAGACAAGATGTTTTACTCCGATAAGCAACTATTGGGGTGATAGAGATGGAAATTTACAAAATATTATTAGCTTTGTTATTGAAAGACAGAAACCTACTTTGGAATTTAGGTGCGGGATATGATTGTGTTAAAATAATGTACAACTGTAACAGAAGTTGTGGAGCAGATTCAGTGAAACATTCTATCATACGAAGCATGGCACAATCAGCATCTTCATAAAGCATTAGTTGCGTATATTGTGCAGCTACACGAAGACTTAACCCAGGTTGACGACTTGTAATACCGTAGTAGATAGCGTCAGCTGCCCTAGAAGTGAAGCAACAAATACACACAATGGAGACAATCATTATAATATCTTAAGTTAGTCATATACTCGAAGTGATAGTGTTCGAAATAGTACATCAAAAGTATAGATCACCATAGTTAACATAACCGCTGAACAAGATCGGAGAAAGTCAAGTAACAGGCCGAATACACAGGAGCAAACAAACCAGTGGTGAAGAACATCAGGACTAACTGGCGGAAACGTGAAAAAAAAACATGTGTAAGATTTAATATGTGAGAAATTTAGCGTACTGCAGTTGTGTTATTTTTTCAACTTCATCTTCTACTGTTCTTATTTATGTCATTGTTATATGATTTTTCAAATATTTTTCCATAATATATCAGTAACTTACGTTATTATGGAAGTTTTTTCAATGTGAAGATTGTTTTTAGTACAGACTGATATGATCTAGATAAATTTTGAACACCAAGTAACATAACCAAGTTACTTCTATATATTTTGAAACTCATTTATTATAGAATCGTAGAACGTAAAAGAAAAACTGAACCAGAATTGACAATTACTTACTACTCGAAACTGCTGGTCGAGTGAGAACTTGTGGTGAACTGTTACTTAAATCAATTACTTCAAGTGGTGTTCGTCAGAGCTGTCTACTCTCCATTCTTACTAAACTTCGTCACTAACAAGATTTTAGGTAAAGCACATTCATCGTCTGACTTTTGAGGAAGTAACTCACCAGGAGATTCGACTGTTAACTTGGAATATGCCGATGACATAGTGCTGTTTGAAGACGCGGGCCACAAGCAATTTTTTGACAAAACTAAGCAACAATGCGGGCAAGTTATGGATGCGATTCTCACCCTCAAAATGCAAAATATAGCTTCAGGATTGGCTTGCATCGGCACCAGTGTTAGTGAAAGGCAGTGCAGACCGCTTCACTCATCTTGGGAATCTCATCAGCGCTGATGGTCTGGTGTGAGGGAGTCTCAGCACGGATACAGAAGGCCTGACTGGCTTTTGCCAATTTGCGTGATATACGGTGTAGGCGAGATATCCGTCTACTAACCAAAGAACGAGTCTACTGTGCACCAGTTTTCTCCGTCATATATAGGTGAGAAACATGATCTGCAAGAGTGGAGCATATTCGTAGATTGCTGGTTTTCGACCATAGGTGTCTTCTACTTATTGCCGTTTATCTTGGTAATGTTGATGTTAGGAAACGAGTACTAGGTAAGGATGGCGAATCAATAGATGAAGTTGAGGTGGCTGGGATATTTGTTACGAATGCCTAACCACCGACTGCCTCGACAAGCTATATTTTGTGGCGTAGGAGTAGGCTGGAAGAAAGCTAGAGGTAGCCAGACCAAAACAGCAAAAATCCATGAAGTCACTGACAAGTGGACTGAGTCATGTTGTAAGGTGTAGGCTACCTGGTTGGGGTCCGCGAGACGAAAGTCACCAATGGCTAGAGACGTTGAACGACATGGCTCAAAATCGTTTACAATCGCGCAGGTGCACCCAATCTTTGTGTTCTCTCAAATTGTAATCTTCTGAATTCCCCATGACTGTTTCTTCACTCTCTTCATTTTAGATTGATTGTCCTGACATCTTTAAGCAACTCTTTTCGATTACCGCTAATACTTCAGCTACCTCTACAATTCGATCTCTGTGTGCTAATATTGTACGGAAACTTGAATCGATGTACGTACGTAGCAAGTTCTACTTTGTTGCTGACTGACTGATTGTTCAGATTTTGACAATTCGCCAAAGCACATGCGTTGCTTAAATATACGAAAAAGCAAACCATCATATGCTAACAAATAGTAACCCCGAACAACCATTTCATAAAGTAGGTTACTTCGTAAATTTACAGTAAAAACACACAGTATTTCTAAACCAAACACTACTGAACTCGCACTAACTAAAATCGAACTTGTGGAATAAACACTGTATACAGTGGATAAAACATAGCTCATTTATCCCAAACCTTTGGCTCTCAGTTAGTCAGTTAGTTACAACGTAGAAATTCGTACGTACGTACATCACTTCAGGCTACCATACCATATTAGCACAGGGACGCAACTTTCAATTCAAATCCCATAGCATAAGAGGTACTAGAATCATTAGCAGTAATCGAAAAAAATAGGGTTCGAGGACATTATTATAGAAGTAGAATTTAGTGACATAAATTTGAAAATAAGAAGATAAAGGTGATAAGGAATTCAGAAGGTTAAGATTTGAGAAAACACAAAGAATAGAGGCACCTGCGCTATTGCAAACGGTTTCGAGCCATGTCATTCAGGTTCGCTAAACATCTCGCGAAGCCCATCATGGTGGTCGACACCCACCAACATGATTCAATCCAGTTGTCAGTGACTTAGTGGATTAGCGGTGCAGGGTGGTAAAGGAATGTGGAAAGCGTGAGTCATGGAGATAAGAGAGATGCTATGGAGTGTAGGAAGGATTTGATTTTGACCAATTCGGTCTCGTGTGCTGTTTCGCGTATGAGGACGGATGTCACTTCCCCGCTGCCCACACCGTGGGAGGGTTTCTTGAGGAGCCTGAAAAGGAAGGTAGATTAGCATTGATCTTAGAGACCTAGGAGCGTGACCGCAGAGCCCAAGGAACAACTGCTTGATGCCGGTCACGTACGACCTTTTCATGAGAAGTTTCTAAAATGTTAGCCCCGCTTTTTTTAAAAGGCCCTACCGCCAGAGACGGAAATCCGTGCAACAAGATGAGGTGTGACATTTTTAGGGTCGATCTTTTCTAAGCCCTTCCTTCCTTTTGAGAAGGCAGCATCGCTGCAGATGCTGGCTGTCCGAAGGAAACACCTTCCCGCCGTCACACCCCTCTGCAGTCAGCAGTACGACTTCGCCCTCAGACATTGACTAGCTGCTTTTAGTCTCATCGTTCTCAAATCGACCTGCCTGGCATGGTAGCACCTACAGGAACATGTTCGAGCTTACATTGCTCAGATGGGTCATCACGACAGCCAAGCCCGACCACCACTTTAACGTAGCAGCTAACTCTGGAAGAATCAGTTTCTTATTGGAAATCATAACCATGAGTTTCATTGAAGAATTAACGCAAAAATACATCTTTTAGACTTAACCGCTTTACTAAATGAAATACAGACAAGAAAATTCTGGCTAAAAATAAACAAACCTCACTAGAGGGGCCAACTGAAGACCATGGAACAACAGTCTAAACGTCCATGCTCGATAGCTGCGAGGAGGATCAACTTGAACTTTGTAGTCAATAAAATACCAGGCAAGACTGAAACTGGACATTAAGAGGGCCGGGACAATCATGAAAACCATTGTGAAAATAGACCAGTAGTAATCTTCCTATATTAACAAATCAAAAACAAAAGTCAGACCGAACTTTTATAAGGTGAATACCTTGAATAATATGTTCGATTATTTTATGCCATAAATTCCGAAAACTATGTGCAAACATTCTTTGATGAGTTTGAAGATACTATTGAAATCACATTCATTTATATAAATTAGGGGGGAATTCACTGATCAAAAATTGATAACTGACTGCTACAAGACTTTTATACACAAACGTTTTTAGGGTCGACCTTTACTAACCCCTTCCTTCTTTGTGAAAAGGCAGCATCGCTGCAGATGCTGACTGTCCGAGAGAAACAACTTACTGCTGTCACACCTCTCTACAGTCAGTAGTACGATTTCGTCCTCAGACCTTGAGTTACTGCTTTTGGTGAAGAGGCTAACAAAATAAAGTCTTGTGACTACCCTAAGCAACAATGCAAGAATGTTCGGGATGCGATTCTCCCCGTCGAGATGCAAAATGTTGCTTCAGGATTGGATTGTATGTGCACTTGAACTAGTGATAAGGAGTGGAGCAGTTGAGCGTGTTGACCGCCTTACTTAGATCGGAAGTCTCATCTGTGATAATACCTGGGTGACTGACGAAATCTCAGCAGAGATACAGAAGGCTTGAATGACTTTTGTCAACTTGCGTTACTTATGGCATAAGCGAGATATCCGTCTGCTAAACAAACGACGAATCTAATGCGCAGCAGTTCGCTGTCGAACATGACAAATAAGAGTAGAAGATATTCTTAGACTGCTGGTTTTCGATCAAAGGTGTCTTCGACGCATTGCTCGTTTATCCTGGGACTATCAAGAAGGTAATGTTGATGTTAGGAAACGAGTAATAGGTAAGGATGTCGGATTAATAAATAAGGTATTGAGAATTAATCAGTTGAGGTAGTTGAGACATGTCTTACGAATGCATAACAATCGACTGCCTAGTCGAACTATGTTTTGCGGTTTAAGAATAGGTTTGAAGAAAGTTAAGGGTGGCTTACCCAAAACATGGCACAGATCCATGAAGTCACTGACAAGTGAACTGAGTAATGTTGGTAGATTTAGGCTACCTGGTTGGAGTCCGCGAGATAAAAGTCACCAATGGTTAGAGACCTTGAACGACATGGCTCAGAATCGTTTGCAATGGCGCAGGTGCATCCACTCTTTGTGTTCTCTCTAATTCTAACCTTCTGAATTCCTCATAATCTCTATCTTTCTCTTTCTAAATTTATCTCACTGAATTAAACTTTTCGAATCATATCTTCGCTCCCTAATCTTCTCCACCACTGCTAATACTTCTGCTATCTCTACCACTATGGGATTGAAACTGACAGTTGCGACTATATGCTGATGCGGTGTGGCGACCTGAACTTATGTACTCATGTACGAAGTTTTGCGTTGTAGATGACTGACTGACTGACCAGATAGCGAATCAACTAGACCAGACTGGGAGGACTTACATCGATTTGCCGTTCAGGATGACTGGAGATCGTGGGTAACCGAAATGTGGCTTAAGGCCAATTGAAATATCCCCTGAAATGTTCTGCACATTGATCCAATCTCCCGGGTTGGGAATGAATCATAAGCCCATCCTTTTCGAAGATGATTTCGCTAACACATGGATTTTTAACAACCGTTTCCTTGATAAGTCGGAACAAACGTCTACTGTTGCCTATCGCCGCTGCCTTTTCGATTGCTTTTGCTTTCGCCACCCACCACTGTTCGCGGTCGTTGCGTAGGCTTTTTATCAGCCTGCGTCTGAGCTGACTTCGCTCTTCATCATGTTCAGAGCCAGGAGGGATGAGTTTATGAGCGTCTATCAGATTGATGGATGACACTGAGATCCATGGCTTCTTCCTAGCCTTATGGTTTAACTTAGTAGCAGATAACACTGCTGTTTCCACAGCCGCTTTGATATCACTCCGACCTGCCTCCGGATGGGGATCACTGACATTTACGTGTCTTGATGCCCATATCGATTTGGTGATGAGGGGGATTGACTAAGTCATCCAGATTACCTTCTACATTAGAACATCCGGCTTTATTGAATGCGGTAGAAATTTTTAAGTAGTGTATCTTTAGTCGATACCAAACCGTACCCACAGAGAGTACAAACAGGTAAAGCTCCATACCAATAACTTAAAAGTTTCTATGATACTTTTTAATCAGAGCCGATTTTTGATTCTTTACTATGGTCCAAAAATATAATAAGATTAACTTGCATAACATTCATGGCTTTTTAGAAGGGTAGATAAGTAAATGGTCGTCTGATAGACATACTAATAGACAAATCAGTGTTATTAGAAATACGTCAGAACCAACAAAACATTTTAGGCAACATCTACAACTTCCCTTAGGGAAGTTCACCAGTTTGAACTTAATATTCACCTAGTTTTTTAATAATGTTGACTTAGCTAGTAAGGGTCAATAGGCAAAATAGATTTTGATGATAAGAAACGCTCTACAAACTGTGTAATCTACGTAATTATTTTTTCCAGCCGATGTACATAAAGCTATGCATTTCCGGTAAAAAACATTTGCAACTCATTTAAACTGCACAATTCTACTACTAGACAGCAGACTAGCAATACACAGATAAGCTAAAATTGCTGAAAGTTGATATCACTAGACTATTGTCCTCTATAGAAAAAAAGGTTTAGAAAATAGATTTAATTACTTGTCAGAAGAAAGTATAGATTTCAGGTACGAAAGCTATTACAAAAGTGGATCACATAACAAAAATAATATCATACTAACCTGAATATAATACGTGTAAACCAAGTATGCATCGGATGCAATATCTGCGAGATAACTGATCATGGAAATGAAAAATATCATAACTTGATACCACCGAAATCCATGGACTTTAAGAAACTCAACTAGCCTTGTTTCATTTTCAGATTGAACAACAGTAGGTACTGGCGGAGTACTTGGATGTGGAGTAATAAAAGAACTAGAAGGTTCATTGAGAGAGTTTACTTTCGATATCGTCGCATCTGTAGTATCACAAACAGTGAACGAGTCCACGTCACTCTTATTTTTCGTGAGATTGCTGCTAGAATAGAATGTTTTGCGTGATGAATTTAACTTGATACATTGGATTAGAGAAGCATTAATTTGAACGTGTAAGTAGAATGTCAGTGAAATGGAGATAACCCAAAAATCTGTAGCGAAAATTGTATTCCTGATACACATCAGCCTCTAATTATTTTACGTTTCGGTTAGCATTTTTATTAATGACTAGTGAGAGTACAATTGTTGTGCCAAAATTTTCCATTAATCCACAAAGTCTTTGACAGTTAGTCTAACCCATGCAAGTAGCTGCACACAGCCAATAGTTAGAAACGTTGAGTGGAATGGCTTAAAATTGTACATAATGGCTTTAGTGTATTCCCCTTTAGTCTTCAGTTAGATCCGAAGTTACCTAATTATCCTTAAAAAGTTTTTAATTTCAAGAATCCATTCTTTCGTGAATCATATCTCTTTCGCCTAAATTTTTCCGCAACCGTTAATACCGATGCTATTCATACTACTCTGGGATTCCTCTGTTTTGACGTAATGTGAAAACTTGAGTCAATCTACAGTAACATCTTTGATTTAAGGCAGTCGTTTTGTGTAGTAATTTCAAAGCAATTACATCTTTCGCGACTGTTATATTACCCAACACAATATTTAAGTATTTACTGAAGTGTTTATTTTAAGGATACCTTAATCTCCGGTTTTATTGTAATATATCTTTAGCAAAACGATGCAACTAATTTTTAGATTCCATTTTAATTCACAAATTTAAGGTTTAGATTGAACTTTAGTCTTCCAAAGCTTTCGTAGAATTTATTTCGAAAACCCAGAACGTATGTTCTATCTTTAACGTAATTCCAGCTTAACAACAGGGAACAATTAAGTTTTTCCTTCTAAGACTAGCAACCGTCTGTGTCACAAGTGAGATGACTGTGGATTGTAATTGTAAAAAGATAAGCGTAAACTCCGAAATTCGCAAATATTGACCGAATTAACAATATTCACATTGATCTGTACGACTTGCTGCACAGAAAAATTCGATCTACACAGTATGCGGCTGTTTTAACTCATTGAAAACAAATAACTAACATACCACAAAAAGAATGACAAACGTGTACATCATTTACGTATCCTACAGTTAGTGCAGAAATATTTGATTTTTAAACAGTTTATAAAACTGAAAAGTGTAACTTCAATATCAAAGTTATTTTTTCCTGAAATATTACTGGCGGAGTAGTATATAGAGGTTTATTTAGTTGCAAGGAACTTTATTATCAGCCATGTAACCAGTACTTAGAACTAGACATTATTCACTCAGTCTACCTGTTTTAAGTAAACAAGTATTTTTCAACTTTTAATCGTAAAAATACCACAGGAACGTTTTTTTAATGCAGTAAAAACATACTTTGTGTGACTGTCATTTTGCATAGGAAAGTTAGCCCACATGGGATTTACTTGCCAGGATCGTTTTGTAACCAATACTTTAGATGGATGTACACAATGTATGCTGGACAATCTATGCGAACTTTGATTGGATCTGAGCATAACTGAGAAGTAGAAACGCTGTAGTACAAACTACGTACTTTTGGACACTACAGAACAAAAGAAACTACATATTAAGTGTATGTATTTACTAACAGATGATTAAAATTTATATATACATATACCAATGATACCACATACAATAAGCAGCTTGAAATGACATAATAGCAATCACTAGTCGCATGGAAATTGAGATAGGCTATAGCAGTGCAAAATATTCAAATGGATATTTCTTGATTGGTATTATCAGTTTCGTTTTGCTGGTGTAAGTATTAACAATTAGGTTAACAATAGGAAATGAACATTTCAGAGCAAACTTATAAATCCTACAAAATCACACTAAGAAAATATGAACGTATTGTAAGACTAGAGAGGCAACATTTGTTTGGTATTCTATCATCGCTTACACAAAAATTCGCTCTTTCTTCTTATTTCCTTGTCATACTGGTGTAAAATGGCAACTATGGTGAACGCATCTCACTGTCACATAGTGCTGATGATGACTAGTCGTAGGAACCGTAATTAAACGAAATACGAAAAACTTTCGAATTGGCCGGTACAGATATCTGAAACAAACTACACTAACTAAAACTATCATTATGGATATTTTAGAACCTGCACTTTTCCAAGTTTCGTATTCATATACAGATCAGGATTGTACCACGCGTTGGAATCAGCACTTATCGGTTTGGAAGTTTAGTTGAAAAACCAGAAAATAATGAACACTTTATCAACTATTGCATGGATATGCTAAACTACTTTCATTTTCTGACTTACAATAACTCCTAGATAATTGTGCTGAACAATGACTACTTTACAATTTTTCGAAGTCCTGTAGAGGTGGTTGGCATACAATTATTTAGTAAACAACTTTTGTTGTCATTCACGTTTTCTCAGTTCTACTTCGTTTTTGAAGTCACTGTTTTTTTAATTAAAAAATCATTTTTTGGATTCAATTTTCAGCTACCTTAATTGTTTTGTTCCCACTTGGCGTAGTATACCAATTACATATCACAAAATATACCACTCCTCTTTCTACCTTGATCAGCTGCAGAGCGAATAGATCGTTAATATAACTGTTGTCAATATTCACAGATCATAGTGACCTTAAATTTCTATTGCTCTTCGCATACATTGTCTTGCAATATCTATTCATTCGATTTTGCAGCAAACACAAATGTTAGTTTATGGATAGGCTGGGCAAAATACACGTGAAACAACTCAGTAAATAAAAACCTAAAATCTCACCAGTCAACTTTTCGTCTGATCAGCAGGACTAACTTTAGCACTACATTGCGGTTCCACTGTATGCGAGGAATGCTTCTAAAACACCTAGGATCAGATATTGGCAGCACATACAGACCATCTACACCAAAGTGTTTCGAAAGTATACAGTACATTCGTCCCGAAATACTCAGACAAATATCACATAAAAAAGTGGTACAATTTGCGGAACGCTTGATGACTTCCATACATTCATCCCGAGATTTCGTTAACCGTCAAACGATAAACCTGAATAATCGACGACAGTATCTATGGACGTTCATCCCTTCTGATGTTCCCATGGCCGTACTCGGCTTTCTTACAAGTAGATTTGGTACTCAACAGCCTTTTAGAGGATCTTTCCACGTGATTTCTCCTCATGTGAAGACCTTCAAGGTCGCTTGACATGGCCGCATCGAGAGCGTCAGCATTAATCGTCTCAAGCCAGCACCTCCTAATCCGAGACCCAATGCTAGACCTATCGAACCTACTGGCGGGATCCCTACATCTAATTTGAACCCCACGTTAGGTACTTCAAAGACTTCATTCTCACGTCCCAGTCATTTGGTATCATCCTGAACCTATGTCTACTACTAACGCACTGTTGGTATCATCTACTTTAGTCAATCTAGGTGAAAACTGGCCTGATCGCCCATGCTCTTGCCAATGCGCTCAGGTAATGTTCTGGTTCCTAATGTGTCTGGCATACGAAGGTTTCGAACTTGATCGTTCTGGTCATTTCTGGCTCCTTCCCTCAATCTGGTTCCGTCCTACGTCTGCAGCGTTTTCTGGTCCGGACCGCTACGGACACAATCTTTATATTTAAGACACGAGCCACGCTGGCGTGGCACGCAAACTCCAGCAACAAAACTGGCACGTTACTACTGATACAGTTCAACGTGTTATTTATAAACTGTTATTCGATGTGTGAATCTCTGAGAAGCAGCTTTGGAAGAGGTGAACATTTTACGTGCTTGGGCGACATCATTGATGAACAAGAGGAATCTGACGTGGAGGTGAATGCACGGATTGGTTAAGCAAAGGAAGTATTCGAACAAGTGAAGCACAGCTAATACTCAAAACAACGGTCGGCCAGCAGCAAGGTCGGATGGAGTGGAAACTCGGAGAACTACAAAAGTCACCATTCAAATGATACAGGTGCTTAATAACAGTTACCTACTCAAGATACTGGGGATCCGTTGGCCACACACTGTCAGCAACAACCTACTGTAGGAGGGAACAAACCTTATCTCAGCTGGGGAAGAGATTAGGAATAAACACTGGAGGTGGGTAGCACGCACATAGCAGAAGCAACCCAACTGTATCCCGATACAAGCCCCAGCCTGGAATCTGTAAAACCAGAAGAAAAGTGGTAGTACAAGGAAAATATTGAGCTGATAGTCGGAGGAACGCATGAAAATAATGATCAGCGTGTGGATAGAACTAGGAAGAAAAGTCTGGTGGATGATTGTGGTGATGGTGTTTGGTTCTCTGAGCTGGGTGTTTTGGTTGTGAAGCTTTCATTGTTCTTCTGAACAACATCATCAGCACAAACTTCAGATAGAAGTCCATCTATGATGAACAATGGAAGCTCCACAACCGAAACACCCAGCTCAAAGAAACAAACACCACCACCACCACAAGAAAAGTCTAAGCTATAGTTGGTAGAAGAATCCTGGTGCGCGACCTGTGCTGCAGGAGGCCTAATAGGAACAGATAGGTAACCCACGATAAACATTCGCTTAATTCTGTTTCAAGTGACCAGCCAGTTTTCCGTCAAACGTACCAACAGGCTTTTTATTTTCACCAGCCTAGAATTCCCACCTAGTTTATATCATCTTGGTATAATCTGGTGAAATGAATTTTAAATAAACCGTTACATCTCATTCATATATTGAACGAAGTCAAGAAATGTTTATCTACGGTTAAACGAAATATATTCGTATTATACACATTTCGAATTTATATTTCAAAATTATATGAAGGAAGCTCCTTTAACTAAACAGATAATAATATTTCAAAATATTATCCGACCACGCCAGTGAAAGCCATGAAAACACGCATGAAACAAATTGTGCCGTCACTAAACATGGAAATGTAGAATAAAACACAATAAAGTTCAAAAATAGGAAGCAAATCAATTTTCGCTAAGAGAAAGAAAATTATAGAATATTAATAATTCTTAAGTCTCTTCGTAACAGAATCTTCACTAGTTCAGCTGCTCATCGGGTAATAATTCAAGTCTTGAAGAATCAATATGATCCCATCCCTATCGCCAGTTGTTACGCACGCACGTTAACATTGAGATGCCTGAACTATTAGGAATTTACCTTATTCAGAAAACGAGAGCGAGTATCGAGGGTCCGGCGACATGACATGCTACTCTAATCCGAGTGTCCCAACCCCCATTGAGTGAAAGACGAAGAAGTGATATGAAGCAGAACCTGTATTCCGTAAAAGTACGATGTCTGAGTCCAAAAGCCCCTACATATTGAATGTGTTAACCCTTTGTTAGTGGGACATAGATGAAATAAAGCATGACTGCGTTAGCTGCGCGCTGATTGGCTAATTCCCTATCCAATCAGCGCCTGGCCCATACTTGGAGAACAGGCTAGAAAATTCTCGTGTTGTTGGCTGCATGCTGGTTGGCTAAGTCTAATCCGATCAGTGCTAGTCAATCACGTGAATTACATTCCAGAAGCCTCTCATGTAACGACTATAAGGACCCCAAAGTTGCGCCTATTTTGCCTTGGGCTTAACCTTGCTATTTGGAATATAATCTTTTTCTGTTCCACTGTGTTTTGATTCTTTGGAACTTGTCCAGTGTATTGTGGTCGGAGAATACTGAGCAATAGGAATTATCTGGGAATTATTTAAGCGAGCGTTACAACACCCTTTCTAGAGGGGGCTACTGTAGTGGTATACTTTTACGAAGTGAACACAATTGCTGAGATGGAAACATTTATTGTACTTAATTCTAGCGATAACTCTTCTATCGTACTACTTTTGTTTAACTGTATTAGAAACCACAACTTGCGTGCCAAGCGTGTTACATCGATTCCGCGTTCCTCCTCGGCTGATGTAAGTTGCTTCTTTATTCCGGTCTTGATATCATTTCGATATCACGAAACCACGGATAAATACACGTGTACATCCAGTTATGGTCTTATTTCTGATTCCTGGATTTGATGGAATATCAATCAATAATCTCGCGAATAGTACTTTCAATTTCACTACACATTGGAGGACGTTAAAACCTTTACATATCTGGGCAGCGTCATTGACGAGCACGGTGGACCTGGTGCAGATGTGAAGGCGCGGATCGGCAAAGCAACGGCTGCATCCCTACAATTGAACAACATCTGGAACTCAAAACAACTGTCAACAAACATCAAAATCAGAATTTTCAATACAACTGTCAAGACTGTCCTACTGTATGCAGCGGAATTTCAAAGAACTAAGTAAGTCATCATCCAAAAGATACAAGGATTTATTAACAGTTGTCCGCGAAAAATACTTCGGATCCGTTAGCCAGACCGTCGGCAACAACCCACTGTGGGAGAGAACAAACCAGATTCCAGCGGAGGAGGAAATCAGGAAGGCGCAGTGGAAGTGGATTGGACATACATTGCGGAAGGCACCCAACTGCGTCACAAGATAAGCCCTCACTTGGAATCCTCTAGGTCGAAGGAAAAGAGGAGGGCCGATAAACACATTACGCCGAGAAATAGAGAAAGATATGAGGAGAATGAACAAAAATTGAACAGAACTGGAAAGGGGGAGCCGAAGACAGAGTAGGTTAAAGAATATCGGTCGGTGGCCTATGCTCCATATGGGGTTTTGTCGTAAATAATTCCGTAAATGATATCGTCGTACTACTCTTCTACTACCTTTTGAACTCAATAGTTTCCGTTATTTGATATTCTTTATATATTTTAAGAATTGAACTTCATTGGAGTTGTATTCTCCATTGCACATGAATTTACCGAATTTAATAATTGGAAAATCGAAGCTTGGTGCATCCAAATCAAATATCTCATGCTAGTCTCTCCATCATATATCTGTCGTGACCGATGTTGGCACTACTCTTTCTATATACAATGCTCCTAGTGGACGTCTTTAACTTCCAGATAGTCATCCTAAGCACTATAGAGATTTACCAAGATTGACACATACGGAATAAAGGAAATGTCATTCTCAATAATTTCAGTCTATGGTTCCTATCCGTCCTAGCTATTCTTACGACGTGTCGGAGCAATATACTCTAAAGTTTCAAGAACTGCTCTGTGACCTGGTACTCATAGATAGCATTATCGGGGTTCTTGTTTTATTGGAAACCTTGATCGATAATATTAATTCAGAGAATTACCGTTATTTACGAGATATTCTTGATGAGAGTGCAGTATGAATGTGGTATGAAAGACAGTAGCCTCACATTCTGCTCATGTCATCAAGTGTCTTTTCGACAGAAAATTCTCTCCACTAGCAATGTGAGGATGTCATGGACAAGCAGGGAAGTTCATAACACTTTTCAGATCGAGAATACCACAAACTAAGTTAAACCAGAGGTCAGGAATGAGGAGGGTTGGAGATATGTTCGGAGGTTGGTTGGAATGTGAAGGGGTGCACCAATTAAGCTTGATATTTGATACGTTGGGATGCATAGATCGGTGTAAATGCGTGACCGAGTGCCTTCAGAAATGGTCTGTCAGGCAAAACGAATGAGGTCAATATCAATGTCGAAGACTTAAGGAACCCTTTATTCTGAGAATTTATTTACCAATCAAGGGCTATCGAACGTTGCTCGGAGTCTTGTGGATATTGGGTGAATATCTTAACAGAAACCAATATTCATAAATGGGACTCATGCACGTTTGATGGTGGTTGTTAACTCATTTCTCTGTAGCTCCGTCGACATACTATGAAATGCATTAGAGAAATTTGAAAGCGAAGCATGGCATGAATTTATAGCTTCAACAATCTTCTTTGACAGAGGCAACTCATTATGGATAGTATCAACCACTACCACTGGTGGCTGATATTTATTAATGTTAAAGCTTACGTATCACATATAATCACTAGCAACAATTATACGGCTTTGTAGTTAATTAATGTGAACACTGCTCACATCCAAGTAGTTATATCAATACAATCTATGACAAAGAATATTCAAGTATATTTTATCCCACCGGGATGAGACATATTGCTGTCTTCAGAAGAATATTTATTGATCGGAGGGGAGTGATGTAAAAACCCATGTTAAGTGTGACACATGTAAAATTTCGGAAGTAGTTATATTTCCAAACCTCATACTAACGAACTCAGTATTGTGCTCGCTAAAGTTTGTATATGTGATGTGTCACATATAGCTCCTGTGTAAATCTTATCCTTCGTTTCGACAGAAAAACTTCATTTTCCGGAACAGATAGATACAAACACACTGGCTGCGGATTTCGTTGCAACCAGGGATCAAACGGAGCTTGGGAAGTATCAGTCAAGAATTCGATAAAACTCCTTCCTCACTAAGTATGCACCGGTATGGAATAGCCTTCCTCAAAATGCGCATTACAGATGGACCACATTATTTTCTACAGCTTCTTAATGGAGCTCTCGGTTGCACCGATTCATCTGGACTTGTGAACCCACTTACACCTTTCTTCCGCATTATTAGCCCTGCAAACGTTTAAATTATACCTAGTTCTGTTATTTTATCCTCCAAAGTAGCATTAACTTCTGTTAGTTGAATACAAGTCTCTCTAGTTTTTACTTGGAATAGACAGGTTACCAACTGGGTCAATCGATACTGTTCAAACGTAAGCTGATTTATTAGAACGCACTCTACTGTCCTAGACAAAAATTTATCAATACACGTAAGTTGATGAGTTTCATATTGCCTATTAACCGTTTTACTCTTCTCACATGCACTTCATTGGCTTACTATTGATCCACTCTCGGTATCTATTGCCCCACTTTTAATAATAATACTGCCCAACTTTCCTGCCTACTTCGTTAAGCATATCTCCAGCACTGCATTCTAAATGCTGATCGGATGTTTGATAACCCTTACTGTTTTCTCCCTTCAAGAGCTCGTACATAAAGTGCAGCATCACTGTTGTTCATTACGGATAGGGTACCGAGATGAGATAGAAGAGAAAATAAAGTAAAAGAGCAACGAGGCGATGGATAAATAATCATCGGTTTGTTTAATTTCTCAAAGTGAAGCAGAAGCAGCAGTGACAAGTCATGACAAAATTCATTCAGACCAATAAAATCAAAATAAACTGCTGTAATATAGCCTTCATAGCAATGAAGAATAATGGTGTGTGTAGTTGGGTAGAGAAGAAGTTGGAGTCAGAAGCTCGACGTCTCTACACTAAAGGTAAATGTTCAGGAAGAGTTAAGTTTGTAGAAATCATCGATAATTATATTGCTCACTGTTCATGTTTCTTTTCTCAATCAAATGCCAACTCCCAAATCATAATGTAAGTGCCTGAGTGTAAATGCCGCAAGTTGTCTTGGAACACCATTTCCTGTCAAAGACACAGTTTATTTCAGTGTCATTTTACAAGATTTTCAGTTTTCTAAAACTTATGAATTATGGGTCAGGCATCTATTCAGTGATTTAAAAGGTGAGAGACATTGTTCAGAATGCTGTCCATAAAAACGTATCTCAGACAAAGAGAAGGAACGGAGTTAAGCAAGGCAGTGAACGCTTGCTACAGACGAAAAGGTAAATCTGGCACAAGTTGAAGGTCTATCTAAAAATAAATGAACTCCATGGACCGATTGAAGCGATGAGCAACTAGATGAGTGAGAGGGTTGGAGAACAAGCTTAAGGAAGTCAGGCTCCAGCATTTGGGAATATTCTCTCCGAGTTACAGAGAATCAGATGTTATCTAATTATGGAGTGGAACATATTCCGCAGGCCAAACCATCCCAAAATGAGCAACTTACTGGAGCTCACCAACACACTCCTCAAGGCAATCCTCGAAAAAGTGCTCATCAAAGAGTGTACATTCAGGTTTATGCACACTTTTTCTAACTTAGGGTCGCTGCAACTTAGAATGCTTTCACAGTCCTCCGAAATGGACAGCTTTAGGAAGGAATTCATAAACATGTATTCATACACAGATTAACATCTCCCTCTTGAACTATCTTTGCCTGATGCATGTATTGAAACTAGGTAATTGTTATTATTATTATTATTATTATTATTATTATTATTATTAATAACTGCCAACTGGCTAGAATTAGTGCAATCGAGTAGTTAGACTACCATCCCTCGGACACTATCAAATACCTGGAACCTCACCGAAAGAACAAGAATCCAGCGTATATGAAGTCTGTTGGCTTATACAAGCTCTTGAAACGCTACCAAGAGTTGGATATTGGGTGTCGGACATTTGATTGGATATTGAAGGTACGATCAGACAAATGATGTAATCAGATTTCGATTACTCTAGATTCGCCCTATATAATAGTGGGTTTTCATTATCAAAGTAGTCTCCAGGCCATACCAGGTTACTAGTTTTCACAGTACTGTCAACCAGTAGACATCGATATCCTGATAATGCTTGGTAAGTCAAAGTTCTGAATACAGTCTCCAAATGGCTCTGATACAGGATCTCTAAGGTTTATGCTGAAAAATTTGCAGCTGATTGTCAGCTGTATATCAGAACATACTACTTTAAAACAAGAAATTTTCGATTTGGAGATTGTTTTCTATTTACATAAACCTAACATATCCCAATTTCCCGTCTTTGGGGAAAATTTGATCGATTTAAGGAAGCCCTTATAGTATATGGTAAGGAACTTCAGGAATAATAAAACCAGACGCCCAAAGATTCCTCGCGGCCTGGATTCTCCCCCAAAACCACCACTAATCTCGTGACTTTGGAGAGATTCTAAGAGATATCATGGAGTTTCTAGGATTTTCTAAAAAATATTAAGTGGTCTATAAAAAGTGGTTCGGGATTTGGCGTGGGTTCTGGGAATATTTAACAAATCTATTCAAAGACTAACAACAGCGTTACCAGTTTTTAGTTTGAAGAAACCACCAAACCCCGACGTTGATTTGATCAGCTAGATAGATTCAGTCTTTCATTGTTTGGCTTTGAGAACTGACCATACTGTGTATGAAATGCATGGGATATGATTTTCGTTTCAATTAGTAGTGATATGATAAGTACGTTTGCGGGCCTGTCTTAACCAGTACAGCTTGTTTTTTGTGAAGATTCAATTCTGTTTGAAAGTATTCACCAGTGCGCCTAGTACCAGTCATTAACCAGTGAATGAGAAACACGAAACCCTGATGTGAGTTTATCCAACCACTGTTTTTGAAATTTCTTGCGTCGGTGTCTACGATGATAAGTTGTGAAGGAAGTAGGGGACAAGGCTTGTTAATACACAAATCATTATTTAAAAGAAATGAAAATGTGAGGTCACTGCGTGCTCCATGATAAGATGAAGTGAATAGATTTAGTCATTTTCACCCCTCACCGTTAAAGAGCTTAGAAAGATATATCACTGACTTAGTTCAGACTCATCGAAGACTCGAGGGTGTTGTCACCCTCAATAACACATGAACATGCTGCTTGGATGCAATATTCTAAGTGAGTTCTTCTATAACCGATTCACAGAACCCGAAATATTCTCTCGTCGAAGCATTCGAATGCTCGACAAAGTGAAAATCTTTGACAACTGCCTCAGTGCAACTCGCAGTTATTTTCAAGTCATGGCTGGTTATTGTTCCTAGGCATTTTTACCCTAAGAGTGGAAGTGATGTACCATTGACAATGTGCCGATTATCATTAATGTGAGTGCATTAGTGTTGTCTTCGGTATTTTCTTGAGCAAAAGCTATTTACTTTATAGTACAGCAACAAACTTTCAGAGCATATTTGTTTCCCTTTTTCTTATTTCTAAAATATTTGGTTTTCTATTCAATTTTTACTTGCATTTTGTTCATCTTTCTCTTCACAAATTTATTTCGTTGGATTATACTCCTGGAATATCATCGTCAAACCCTAATCTTTCCGAACACAGCTCACACTTCTACTGCCTTTACCGCTATGGAATTTGAATAGACAATAGCGTTTTTGTCCTATCGTGATAAGGCAAATTGAACTGATATACGTACGTACGAAGTTCTAAGTTGTTACTGAATGACTGACTGTGTTATATTCTTAGCACTAAAAGATAGCGATATACTTGAATTTTCAAAAAGTAGTATTACTGTCAGGAGTTTCAATTAGCGGGAGTCAACAACAGTTTATGATAACCTCCTAGTGTTTATTATTCTTCTATCATGTATCTCTTGACTGCTATCAGTTAGATATCTTTGGTATTTATTATAGAGTTACGGAGATCATTGTGCACATGCATGATTGCAATGAAAAGCAATAATATCGAAAACTTCATAATGAATATCATACAATGTGCTCACTAGAGACTAACTTTGGGAAGAAATGCTAGGAGATCTAGTGAGAAGTTGTGACCAATGGAGTTCAACTCTGTGCGCAGTAACTAACTAAGAGGTTACGCAAAACCTTAGATTAACCAAAGTTAGACATTAACACTGCCATATGCTGACACAGTGGTCTGGAGGTTAAGCATTCACGCGCAAGACCGCGCAAGTGATGGATGTTTGTGGTTTGGTGTTGATAATTTACTTAAATGATCTATTGTTAGAGCGTTTTATTTCCTAAAATGAGGTCCGTTTTTCTTCTGATCCTTGATGTGTTTGGATCAAGCAGTCCAAGATGCTTGGCACGTGTATTTTGCACAAAATAAATGTTACGGTGCCATCGAACTCTTTTCATGAACTTGGAGTCTTGTTAAAGTTCTTCGATTTCTCAACTGCTTGAATTTAAAACGGATGTGAAGGTGCCTTCAAACATAGTGATAAAATCAGATTCGCGTAACTCAAAATCTGAGGAAATAATCGAATTTCTGAAGTTGCTTTTCTAAACTCTGATCCTATAAATGCCAGATTTAGGTGTGCTGTGTTTATGACCCCTGCGAAGTTAATGTTCGAGTCACCCAAGCAACGTGAAGATCCTAATTTAGAACTAGGTTGATTCAGTAATATCGCAAGTTATGCTGAGTAGTTTCAATGTTTTCTTACGTATCATTTATATAATGTATGGTCACAAAATTAGATATTATAGTTGCTGATCAAACTAAGATATTTTAAACTGCATATTTGCGAAATTTTTATAACCTTTATGGTTTTGTCAATTAAAACGATGTGTGGTCTTTTCTGTACTGTTCCGATATATGATGAGAAAATTTTAGATTTTATAGCTGTACTACATATGTGGTTTGCTGACTGCTGTGAATAAAGTGCATACTGGTTCATGCATTAAACACCGTTGTCATCTACACTGTAAAATTTGCAGTTATACACCGTGTGTGTTTCTTTCGAAGGTTTTCATAAACGCCATACATAATCCCATTAAAACACGTTCAAACCTAGTGGACTGCTTGGGGCGCGCTGACTTCTGGGAAAGGCGTAGAGATAACAATACTAAAACACTCAGCAAATTACATAATTTCGTTAGCTTTTACATCAAGGATATAAAATCCAGTGTAGGAACCTATCTACAGTTATCAAGTTTAATTTTCTTAGATTAATTTAGATTCGTTTTGCAGTCTTCATTTATGCACATATGCTCAAGCATCGCTTGTTTTTTATGGATAGCCGGTAATTTGAGCGACATACTTTCCTTGTTTTTAATCAATAATTAGTTTATTTTTGTCTAATTTGTTGAATATGTTTCATTAAACCATTCGAAAGAATAAAGACGTTTCCGTGAAGAAACGTTTAGCTTGAATTTATCATTTCCTCTGTCTGTTTAACTGTGTTGTTGGATGATTGTTTTACGTTGAAATAATACTGCATAGCAAAATAAAATATAATATCACCGATATGAACTCTTCTTTGTTAAAACGTTTTTACTCTGAATTATGAATTACTGTTTTCTTGCGTTGTAGAAATTTCCAAGCATTTCTGCAGTCACACAGAATTAGATTTTATAGTTGCTTATCAAACTCAGATATTCTAAACTAAATAATTGTGACTTTATACTTTTTCTTCTCTATGTGTTTTGCTTTTTAAGAAAAAAAACCTAGCTTCCCAAAAGCTTATACAAAGCTTTTTAAGTTAGATACACCAGATACACTCGTCAATTCACATCTCAATCAGCAGTCAATAATATGTGACTTAAAAGTAAGTCAACCTAATTTGCGATTACTTTTTATCTCATTATTCACTTAAAGGTGTCTGAAACAATCTAGTACTTGTTGTTAGTACATAATCTAAATGAAACATCGCGGGATCTAACGTCATTTTTTCAAGCCTAAAGTTTATCACCCAAACTTACCATAACGAAGGAAATTCAATAGTTCGTTTCTGAAAGTAATTTGTAATATTTTCAAAACAAGCTGAATGAAATAAACAGAGTAGTATATACCTGGGGATTTACAGTTATAGTTAGAATTATTGGATCTATTTCAGAGGATCATTCTTGAATCACTTCAAACTATCTCTAAAAATAGATAGTGTTTATCTCAGTCAACTCAACTATGCGAAGCTTAATCTGCTTCGCGGTTCAAACTTACAGATAATGACATCTTGAAATAATGTTATTTCATGGTTTGACCACCTATTAATGGTAAATATTTACGACTTCAAAAATAAATCAGCCATTTTTATGGAGTTTCTGTTCGATTGCTAAACGGCTTTAACCTTTGAGGATTTACTAGTTGTTAACAATCAGTGTGTATGAAATACTTTCAAATCGGTTGTTTGGTAGCTAAGAGTCATATGTCTAAGCCTTTGAACTTCAACCCAGTATAACATCACCCAATATTATCTGGTATGATAGATGTTCCCCAAAATACTTCAAAGTAAATTATTTCACTTTAGTACAGCATTAAATTAAAAAAAAGAATAAACAAGAATAAACAGGAAACTATTACTGTGGATCGTAACATGTATGAAATAAACTTGATAACTCTGATCGTGCTTAGAAAGCTTATCACGTATCACTTCAAACCTTGCACTGAATGTGAGACGAAGATTAATTATGACCAACTGCATCAATTTAATCCGCAAGGTTAGTTTTGCATTTCACAACCCTCAACCAAAAAATATGAACTAAATTTGATTCTCGACAAATACATTTATTCTACAGTCCTCCATATCTTTGACCTTGAGGATCAAAATGGCGAATGACTGGTGTTCTCGTTGTTTTTGAGTTCGTTTATGTTCTTTATGGAGCTTAATTTAAGACGAGAATTTCTAAATTTTGATGAGAACCACTGACAATTAGAGTCACCAAAGTTGACAGGGATTTGCTTGGCCAGAAAAATATTTAATAACTGCCTGGAATCGCTTACCGAATAGAGTTATGAGATATGGACAACTCAGTTACTGGACAGCATCATACTTATAGCGAAATTCCAATGTATTAGGTTCAATCTACGGTTTAAAAATGTGTTAAAGATTTTTAAAGCTTGACAAGATCGTTGTTCAATAGTCCCTAGTTCTTAGTTACGGTGCAGCTGATATCATTCTATGAACAAAACCATTTGGATGAAAAACCTTCAGAGATAGACAAAATTACAAGTTTTCTATGCCAGATGAAAATTTATTCTATTTAAAGAATCCACAAAGCGTTATAATTCATTAATATTGTGGTTTAGGATCCGTATTACATATCAATATTTCGAGCTGTATTATTTGGCAAGACCTTTTCAACTTTTGATTTTGACTCAAATAAAGCAGCTTCCAGAGACAAATTGAGTTACAAAAGCTGAATTATTACTGTCAAATTAATCGAATTATACGTCACACTTGTGATACAGTATATCTTTTCTCGATTCTGAATAAATCGAAATGGTAATGAAAAAATCTAGTACACGAAGAATTGGATGTTCGTGGCACAAATAATGATTTTCTTGATAAATGTTGAGTAATTTTTTGTAGATAATAGACTGGATTAAAGTAGAGTTGAATAAATTTGAAGCTAGCTTAGTCTTTAAACTGATGCAAGAACTTTGGGATTTATCGCATGAAAAAAGGTGTCTTATCAGTGGAGTTTCATTCTCTGGGCGGGAGCTTTCGTTGTTCTTCTAAACAGTGTCAACACGAAATGCAGGTAGAAGGGGGACTTTTCCACATATGACTAACAGTTTGTCTTAGTATTTATTTGTTATTGTCAGTCTTTAACGTGTCATTATTTGCATCATGAGTTTAAATGTTTCTCAATTTGATCTGATTAGTGATTCCTCACTTCTTGATGATTTTTCTAATTAGTTTATTAATTATATCGATTTCGATGTGTTTGATGATTGCCGATTAGCCTAAGAGTCAAGCTTTAAAAAAACTCTTATGTTCATAATATTTCTTCCACCCAAGACCTCAACATTTTTCCAACCGAGTGAATATCATTAGTAGTCCACATCTATTGATATAAGTGAGATCGCGTTTGACCGCTAGTTAAACACCTTAAGTCTGAAAGTAATAGATTTACAAAACCCTTTCTGAGACATAATTTTCCACTTCATCGTCAGTTTGCCCACTGTACTTACCAAAGCCTTATAAGTGAGGCATATCATCAAGTAACTCCCTCTTTTAATTTTTTAATTCTGTAAAACTGGTATCTTATTTATCAAGCCTCTAATCAATAGTTCCTAAATCGAATGATATAATGATTCCATTTTGAGCCCTTTTATCAGTTGAAGACAAGGTTGGTAAATCAAATTTTGTGTAAGGATTTCGGATTCCTTATCAGTTTCAAAACTTAAAGAAGGTTTATTTGCTACATTAAATCTATAAATAAAAAACATAATTTTATTGATCTTTTATACTGAATAATTTTAAGAATCTTTTTTTATTTGGGGGTTTTTCAAACAGTAATCAGTCTATCCGAATGCTTCATACTATTTAGACTGGTGCACGAAAATCCCCATTAGTGCCAAAGTTCACGAACAAAATTCCTGTGAAAACAATGAAAGATGTTTTTGAATATGGCTTAAATACCGCAAGTAAGTTTGCTTATTTATATACTTTATACTTTATTCTCTCTCTCTCTCTGTATATATATATACTATGTACTATGCACTACATACTATATACTTTACTTATTTATATTTTTTCGTCATAAGTTTTAACTTGGGCAATTTATTTTGTGCAACTTTTACTCTCTCACTAGAACCTTGTCACTTTCTAATTATTTATACACATCAGTAAGCCGGTTTGTTTCAAAACTAAAATCGCCTCTACGAACGTCAGCATCGGGGTTAGAAAGAAAGAAAACATTAGGGTACCTTGTATGCCAGGGGAAGACGCACAGTAGTTTAAAAGGGAAACACTGGAAATAGGAAGAACGAAAGAAGAATTGAGTCGACGATCTAGAAAGCATATTAAATCCACTTTTGCTTAACAAGAATGACAATCAACAACCAGTGATCATGCAAGATTCAGATTAAGAGAATCTGGAAAGAAAAACTAGGATCGGATAGCGTGAAGATTCTAAACTGTTACAATAATCAAACGGAAATGTAGTTGTCAATAGGAAAGACTGTAAATAATAGATTTGTAAAAGATTAAGAATAGTAAGTTGTATGGAAGTAGTTAATGAGTCAAATCAAATTTTTTGGCTAAATGAATATAAATATATAATAATCTGGTTACTGAATAATAGTACAGTAAGAGCAGACATTATAGCAATCCATAAATTAGTTCTGTAATTTACTAATACTTTAATCTTTAATCAGATATCACACTAGCTGTCCTCTATAATTTTATAATGTTTATTCTCACTGACCGATTATTACTCTACTACAAATCCACGTTACCTGCTTTGTTCCCTGACTATCGATTTCTTTGTTCTATTTTTAAATTTCTTTCCTTAAATTACAGTATGAACTCGCGTTTTTGTGTAAGGTTCTCGTATTTGAATTGGGTCTAAGACGCTTATAGGGTGAAAATTTGATGTGTTTCAAGGTTTCATACCTTAGCAGTATGAAAGATATAGAAACTTTCGGTCACACTAAAGAATACAGGTACTTTGTACCTGATTTCTTTAAAGTCAAATCAATCACTATCAGTAGCTGAAATCTGAGTTCTCCTTGGAAATAAGACCATTTAAAATCTATTTACTGTATAAAAATAGAGAAACATTATTAGTAGGCTTAAGTGAAACGTGCATTTTCACCAACTAACATTTTCTCAGTACAATCAACCTAAAATTCATCAAATGATGATTGCCAAAAAAACTGGAATTATTCACTGCGTTTTCACTGTTTATTATTTGTCAATTTCCGTTTATGTTCAGGAACGCTGTTAACAGCCTTTCAAAGATTCTTCCATACGCCGATCATATTTTTGCAATTAAGATGGAAGATTTCATGGACTTGAAGTTTTGATCTATCCATTTTTGATGTGATTTTGAAATGCTCATTTGTAGGGCTTTATCCATGTCTCGGAAAACGACTCTCTCTAAATGATCCATATTCGTGGCTCGTTTACAGTGAGGTAAGTGGCTTTGGCTTGCGCCTGTGTTTTTCAGGTGGATAAGAAAATAATGGCTATTGGGTCAGCTCTTGTGAAAACTGTGAAACAAAGACGTAATTCTGAAAACTTTGTGGGAATCTATGGACGGAATTCACCAGAGGTAATAACAAATATCTGATTTTAAATTAGCGACTACTCGGTCATCGAGGCTTATTCAACGTTATCTTGCTTAGTGCCACTAAATATTCCTGATCGACAGCAATTTTGGTTTTGATGAATAAGTGTCAGCTGACATCAACACAGAGATAACAAAATTGCTCATTATATATATTTCGATTCTAAATTAGTACAAAAACCAAAGTTGATCTTACTGGTGTGTTTATGAAGTGTTAATCTTGCAAATAAATTTGAGGCTGATGTCAAATCAGCTTACATTCCTAAACTATTTCTAGAATATATAGCTATTATATTTGTTCCTTTACTCTATTGGTCTCCGGAGAAATGGAAACAGTGGTTTTTCTAACTTTATAGGACGAATAACTTAAGAGAACCAGGAAATTTAGTGAACAAATTACTTTCATAGACAGCTGAAACAAAGTAAATAGGATGAAGTCTTTGAGTAATATAGTGGACGATATATCAGTGATTACCAAAATTTTTGTAGTTGTCCAAGCTGATATCACATCTCTTTGTTTTGAATGTAACTTATATCATTACGCTTTTAAAGGTTTGGCAGTTGTATAGAGTATTGAATTTGGGTACGATGTTTGCAATTTTTCAATAGTTTACTAAGACTTCAAATGCTTCAAACTGATCTTAACAATGTTCGATGGAGAAACGGTGTCCCAGACGTGACAACTTAATGTGCAGTAAAAATCCGGATTCGTTATTTTTTCTATAAGGACCCAATTATATCAATTACTAATTTCATTTGTTTACTATAACTATTTTTTGTACTATCCAGTGGGTTATTATGCAACATGCATGTGCTGCATATGGTTATACTCTTGTATCCTTTTATCCTACGTTTGGTAATGAAGCTATACAACACATTTTATCTCAAAGTAAGAGTTTAGCGATCCTACTGCGATAATTTTCATCTTTTGTTTGATAGTGGTTTTCTTATGCTAATTAATGTGCATTTATATCAGATGAGGTTCTACATTAGTTTTTCTGTCACAATAAAAGCTTTCGGGACCAAAGTAATTTTTAGAAGGGTTAAAAGTTGACCTGATAACAGTGACGCTTAAGAATCGGATACATATTTACTTTTTTTAATATATAACGATAATTTATCAAAAGTTATTTCTGTTTTTTGAATTTTATTAATTTTCGAAGGGAAAATTTGCAACGGAGTTCTGTGCCACACTACTCTCTATCTTACTAGCTTAATGACTCTGAACGCTAACATTAGCAACTCCTGGAAATAAAAGATATCGTGTGTATAACGTACAAAATATCAAATAAATAAATTACGGTTTGAAAGAAGTGATACGTCATTTTGAAGTTTTTATGCTTCATTAGGTTAATACAAAGTTTGAGATTTGCTGCACAAATGCTTGCATTTAATATGCCGTTAAGTCGTGGTTCTAAATATAAAACAAATCTAAACAATTGTTCTTTATGATCGACTTGATTACTATTTGATTTTAGCAAACGTAAATTGTATGCTGTGTACTTCAGGAACTGAAGCTCTTCATTTACTGGAAAATTTTGAATCTTCCCTTGAATATTTAATTATAATTTCATATGATGTTAAAGTAGAGGAAGTTAGATCTCGTCATGGTTCCGAAGTTTCAGTATACTTGTTTGAGGATTTTGAGGTAGGTTAATAAACAGAGTGCTCCAGAAATTTTAACTTATTATCCACTTAGAAAACTATAAGTCATTAATAAGTTTAACTTTGATTTTTGCTTTTGTTTTTCGTAATCTATGCATATGTGTGTTATTGAGATGGTGAAGAAAATTCATAGCTTAGGTGAATGATCATAGTGGAGTTTTGTTTTCTGAGATAAATGTTTTGGTTGTGGAGCTTTCGTTGTTCTTCTGATCAACATCATTAGCACAAATTTCAACCTACCATTCAGAGAACGAAACTTCATCAGAACAATTGTGTTCATCACTTCAATCACTGTCTATCTTAACATATAGTGGTCTATGAAGTAGAACTGTATTTGAAGGTTTGCATTTACTGACTAGAATACTACATTTACTTTTAATAATTTTCTAAATCTTTAGCAGTTTATTCCTCTTGTTATATTTGTTGATCTTAATTTTCCATAATATACGACTGAACCAGAGCGCTAAACGCATCACTAATATATATATATATATATATATATATTTATATGTATATATGTATACATATAAGATAAAATGGGTTGAAAAAAATTTCCGCAATCTAAAACCAAAGCCTCAAAGCGCTAAAATCCCTTGATATTCACCAGTCACTTTTTCCTAGAATCATATTTACTAGGTGTCACTTATATGATTACATTTCTACACAGTTATTCAAGGTAGCGTAATATCTCTATGATAATATCAACTACGTGTTTACTATACATTTTCTGATTATTTCATTCACCAAATTTACTGATACAACTTGATGATCTGAAGTTATTTCGCATAGATTTCAAAGTAATAAAAACGCTTTAAAATATCATCCTTTGTACATCATGTTGCAAAAGTACTGTTTACAATATATTATTGTATGTGTTATACAATAAAGGAATTTAGCAAAGAAACAGTTTATTTTAGCTACCAGTCTGACATTAAAATCTAGTTTTGTGAAAATTTACTTATGTAATTGGTACTTTTTGCCCTCTATAAGCCAAGATAAATTACTATCTATCAACAATTCAATTTCTGATTGCTTTTTTTCGACATCGTAACCACCGTTATATTGAGGGGTTCATTAGTGAGGACTCTAAAATCATTGAAGTCTTCAAGTCCTTCATTAGCTTATACAAGTTACCAACCTAAATTATTCGCTTATCTTAAACCACACTGATAATTTATAACGCTCCTAACAATTGGCTAACATCGAGGCGGAATAATGAAATTTTCATTGAAAAACTGTGATGTTTGAGGGAAACGACAAATGGAGTGAGAATTGATTCCTGACTGTTACTTGAGCAAATATTCATCCTTCTCAACTCAAAATGAATGTATTCAAGAGTTTCTCAATTTGTGTAACTAATCATTCGATGGGACATTTTATTTCGTTCATATTATAACCATTTTATCAACACTCCGTTGTTATATCATAATGTTTCAGAAACTGGGTCTGAATAAACTTTTACCAAAGAAAGTGAGTTTTGACATTTTCTTATCTCATTGATTCTTAAGTCTGTCATTAACCTCCATATTGAATAGTGTTGTCTGAAACTGAATGTACTGATTGGGTTTGGCACTCCTTCTTTTGATTTCGGTCCGTCAAAAAATACACGATGAACTTCAATAAATTTTACCGGTCCAAACTACTTTTTCGATTTGCGATTAGAATATAAATTTCCAAATTTATTGTTTGTCTATTCGCATACCCTTTCGCTTTACTTATAGTATCTTGAATAACTTCTTGTCCGCTAGGAAATATATTTTTCGGCGATAGAATGTGGAAAAGCAATTACCGCTTAACAAATATGCTTTCTTTAGAAATTTTTAAAAAGTTTACTTTGTCTTCTTCTCTCTGCACTCTCCACGAGAATACAAATGCCAAACTAAGCATATTTACTCAAAACGTTCTGTGGAAAATTTTATACCACCAGGAAATCTTTCCAAACTTACACATTTCATCGTTTCAGTCTTTCAAATTTATGAACATTTATTGCTGCTTGTTGTATTCTTTTATTTTCAACTTGTCCGTATCACTAATTTATCCTAGTAATTTGTAATCGACGTTAAACGTTCTACTAAGTTTATTTTCAAATATTATTTACATGAAAATTATGAATAAGAAAAATGACTACATATCTTAAGTTCTATCATATAGATTGTATAATCTGATGAAGCTTCAGTCAGTTCAAGACGTTGATGAATATTTTAGTCAAACTGATTGACGGATGTGAAACAGCAATAGTAAAGAAATTCCAATTTACTTAAAAATTTTCAGTACAAAATTGCTTGGTCAAACTGATCAACACACCGGATATACTATTCAATCTTGGCGTAATCAACTTAAATACATAATTTATATGGTTATGATGTCTCTGAAAATGTTGTTTCATGAAAGTCATTGATTACGTTAGGATTGTTCAAATTAAATGTTCTTATTGGATAGATTTTCTAAATAATCCTTCATTTTCAAGGATCCATTGCCATCTGACCTTTATATGGTTTGCTATACTAGTGGAAGCACCGGTAAGCATGTTTCATTCAAGTATTCTTACCGTTAAAATGTATTTTTAACGCTAACTTAATGACTTTTCCAATAAGAAAAACTTATTTTCTTTTGTTACTCTATTGATTACAAGTAGACTAATTATATAATTATCCTTTTAACTATGGATCTATGTTCATGTGCTGATATATGAATTCAATGAAACACAACAGTTGCCACAACCGACTGTTATAACGAACAAAGAAATTTCTGTTCTAATAATGTCTACCATTATTGCCATATAAAATTACGATACACGACTCCATCCTTTTACTGTAACTCTCCAGCCAGCGCACTTAATATCAGACCGAATAAAAGTTTATATAAAACGTATTTTCGAAATTTATAGCTACATTACATGTACGATAGTGAAAACAAGCATTTTTACCAGAATGACATAGATATTTCCTAGATACGAAATATCCCTAGGAAAAGTCTAGGGTCCAGGAACATCAGGGAACGTTTCACCCAATCAACTTTAAATAGAGCCTTCTCAGAATATCTAGAAAATGTAGAGTCACGTGCCATGATCCTGATCGGATATTCAACCATACCATATTCAGTATCGTTTCCTAACCTTCCAAAAGCAAAAGCTTATGAGTAACTCTATAAATACTCTCATTTTTGTGTCCATAAACTATCCTGGAACGAAAGCGTTCTTCCATTTCCTCGCATCTATTCTCTTGTGTTGAAGTTTCAGTGTAGAGTTAGTCTGGGGTTAGAAAATAAGTACTAGGTAAGGATAACAGATCAATTAATGATGTGGAGAAGCTTCATCAGCTGAGGTGGTTGGGACGTGTGTTACGTATGCCTAACAATCGACTGCCTCGTCGAGCTATATTTTGCAGTGTAGGAATAGGTTGGACGAAAGCTAGGGGCGGCCAAATCAAAACATTGCAGAAATCCATGAAGTCACTGACAAGTGGAGTAAGTCATGTTGGTAGGTGTTGAATATATGTGGGTTGTGTCCACGAGACGATTGTAACTGATGGTTAGAGAATCACTTTTTTGACCAAAGGTTTTAGAATATGATGAAAGCAGAGTTTGCACTGGGTATATATTTATTGGGTAATGTAAAATAATCCTGTGACTTTTGGTTAGTAGATAAAAGGTAATTAGCAAGATAACCTTACTTTTTGTCTATAGGATTACCTAAAGGTGTTTTGGTTAACCATGAACAGATTGTGGATTCTGTGTTTTCAATAATGGAAGCTTCTGAAAACAAGGTAAACTATCATGCTATTCGCGCTTCAATAGAGTTTAAAAGTACTTTTTCTTGCAGAGTTTGCAATATTAATTAATATTGCAAATGAAGATATTTTAACAGTGAAAGTGACTTGTTATAGGCATACAGCAATATATTTTTATTATTTCCGTTTAAGTAATTATTCACTTCTATTTCTAACAGTTCTTGAGCATGACCTCCTATTCAGCAATCTAACTTAGTGGTTTGTGAAGCCTTAACAATTTAGAGAAATGTGACTTGCTTTTTTCTTTTTGTCTGATAGCGGTTTTTAAAAAATCGAAAATCGAGTATTGTTTAGGCATGCATAAAATGATAAAGTTTGATATTGATTTGATGGATGATTGTTTATTTTGTTATATGTCTCAGCTCATCAACTCCAATTCAAGTCATCTTTCGTATCTCCCATTGGCATATATGATGGAACATATACTTTCAGTAAGCTTCGTTAATTAACAATGATATTTTTATAAGTTTTTGAATGTGAACCGACCACGTAGATCAGATGTGAATCTTAGTCATAAATTGATTTGCTCAACAAACCGTATAAAGGGTTAAAAAACATACTTATGATCTTGGTAATAATGATAATAGTATTAAGGCAAAAAATCTGTTATTAGCGAGAAGTTAGACTACATTTAGACTAAATTTGAAAAATATTATCACTCTTAGACTTTCAAGGTTCAATTGTGAAAAGAAATTTAATGTATGCTGACTGCCAAAGCGAAAAATGTTGATGATTATCTAGCCTCCTTGTGAAATCTTAGGCTCGTATTTTCTGAGTCATCTGAAATTCGGATCTAGTACTTCTTAGTTTTCATTGGTCATTCAGCTGATATGTGTGTGGTAAAAAAATATAAGGTAAACAAACCTTCCAAACCAGTTTATCTAGTTAGGAAGTATTTTCTGACCATAATATTAAATAAAGCTATACTATAGTATTTGACAATAATTCAGGACCATACTTGTTTGACGGGCTTTTAAATTCAAACATTGTGAATCAATGTTAATTTTCTAATAGCTAGTGGATTAATTAAATTTGAAAGTAACTCTGTTATAGCGATGATGAATATTTCTTCAAGTATATTTTAGAAATTATCTACTGAGTTGAAAAAAATGATTAAATATTCGGAACACAACAAATGTTAAGGTAAATCACTGAGCTTCTGTGCTTAAGATCTGTACCCTTTTAGCTTCGGTGGAAACATTTTTCAATATAGTTTTCCTCAAACGATTATTTCATTTCTTTTTAGTCCTACTATATTATGATGGGAGCCCGTTTGGGATTTCTAACAGATTCTGTTGACAATCTGGTGGCAGATGCGAGAGCTTTGAAACCAGGTGTGATAACAGCAGTTCCACGTGTACTTTCACGTATGTATACTGATTATCAGAATTCATTGGGTGATTCCAAAATCAAAAGGCAACTTTACAGTCAAATTGTGAAAAGAAAAATGGCTGAACAAAAACGGTATATGATCTTACTTTTAAACTTTATCAATGACTCATCAAATAACCTATAAATTTTTGTCTTGGTTAAACATGCATCAGGGCACACTGAGTGATTTGAATCTCTGAAGCATAAAATAAAGAAACACTTTGGCAGCGTAAATTCAGAAAAGATGAAAGGTGGTTAGTCAGCGAAAAGGCGAATTCAAAAAAGGAAAGAGTGTTTTTAAAATTTTACCACATTGAATAGATAATTTTCAATAAGCTCTTGGTATGGAATAAATGTCAAGTATTTTCAATTGTCAAATTACATTAAATAATAAGGTGGTTTCGTTTCAGAAACTTAGATGATGAAGTGTTTCAGTACTTGCATATTTAAACAAGCGTCAGTTGTTAAACTAGGTGATTCCAAAATACATTTTTTATTAAAAACGAATATCTAGTTTTTTTCGCTTTCGTCAACTTGTCTTGTCACAATAACAAAAATACGAATTAGTGGTTATTAGTGAATGCTTCTATGCTTCTATGCAGCTTCATGTTAAACGAAATATGTTTTCAAGTTAACTACCTGTTATTAATGTAAAAGACAACTTCATTCATGAAGAGACTTCAGTTTTTTAAAGGGTGGAATATAAACTTTTTATTTATTTGAATTACGTTACACTTAATACAAGAATACTTTTTCGTCGCTACATTTACGTAGTCTTCCTTAGTAATTTGAATGCTTTAGGCATAATTTTTGTTATTAAAATCCAATGTATGACTACTTATAGAAGCAATAGTAATCTCTTCAACTTAATCAGCATACTGAATTTCATGAAAGTATTTAAGAACGTAGCTGTCTCACTTTGTTAAATTGCTTTCGTATTCAGTACTAATAAACATAGAGTAGACATCTTCTGTTTCACAGATTTAAGTACATTTATAAAACGTTTTAGTTAAAGGTGCTAACTGAGTGTAACTTTACAAATTTGTTCGATATAAAACATACATGAGAAAGTTTGAATTTATATATTATGTCTATTCTAAAACCCGATTTCATAAATTATTTACCTTCTATATTTTAGTATCTAGGTTGGCTATATATAATGAATTTAGATCATACATGCAACAGTAATTGAAAATGAATTTTCATGTATGCGGAAAAAATACTCTGTGAAAATTACTAATTAGTGCATTTATATGTATCAGTTCCACTTGCGTATAAATATATGACAATGTCCTACTTATTAATCTCATTCATAACAAAAGTTGAAGTCGAGATGTTATAAATTTACTTATTACATTTACTAGTTGTAAGGATAGAAATAGAAATATCATTTATCATCCTTCGTTAAGTTCTAAATTGGTCTACAGTTTCACCTAGTCTTTAAAGTTACAATAATATGGTTTTTTTTTCGGAAGATAATGATGAACTTCATTTGAAAACTCTCTTTGATTTCCATAATCGAAGAGAAACTTAAAAATCCGGGAATTTCCTCCAGCACGACCAATTTACAATCATATCATCTAAGCCTTTCAGATAGCTTTGTTTTTTTAAGTCATGTTAACTCAACAAGTCAGCTACGATTTCTCCATAAATTGCCCAAATAAAAACATTTGTTTATGTCTCAAATTTTACTTTCCGTTTTTAAGTATATGGAGTTGTTTACACTACGGAGCATCCTTTAAAATGAACTGTTGAACTTTCTGAAAAAATTCACTATAAGTTGAACTGAAACACCTTTATTTGACTTGTCAGGTAATTAAAATTATTAGACGCGTTAGTAATGAAATAACGATAAAAAAGAAATCAATAAGACAAAATGGTTTGAAGACAATGGCCACAATTTCATAGCAGAGCCTAATTTGACAAAATGCAGTGCTTCAATTGGAAAAATCGATTAAAGGTTTTTGCTTAGTGAATGTGGATGATTTTCTGAAAACAAAATCGAAATAACTAAAGCTGTTATTGTTATATAGAGCCTATAACAAGTGCTTGATTATTTCTGTTCATTTTAGCGGAAAATTCCACCATCATAGTATCCTGGATACATTATACTTTAGGAAACTTAGGAAGTTATTAGGTGGACGCGTATATTGTATTGTTAGCGCAGGAGCTCCGTTGCCCGAAGAGGTTTCAAAATTTATGCATACTGCATTCGGTTTGGTAAGCTAATTTTCGTTTACTTGGTTGTTGCTTTCGCTATCCCTTTTGTAAATATATATATATATATATATATATTATTACAGCTCACTTTGCTGACTTTTTCGTGCATCCATCTGACATGAAGAAAATTAAGTTTACATTAAAAAGACTTTTAAATTCGACATTCTCGCAAATTCACCTTCGGATCCAACTTAATAAATAAATAAAAATTATATGATATTGAAACTATAAAAGTGGCGGATTACGTACATTCAAGCTAAAATGTCCATATACAAAATATTTATACTGCTGCTCGTATGTCATGGGACCACCGTGTAGTCAATGCTGTTGTTAAGAAATGAGTACTAGGTAAGGATAACAGATCAATTAATGATGTGGAGAAGCTTCATCAGTTGAGGTGGTTGGGACGTGTGTTACGTATGCCTAACAACCGACTGCCTCGTCGAGATATGTTTTGTGGTGTAGGAATAGGTTGGACGAAAGCTAGGGGCGGCCAAATCAAAACATGGCAGAAATCCATGAAGTCACTGACAAGTGGAGTAAGTCATGTTTGTAGGTGTTGAATATATGTGGGTTGTGTCCACGAGACGATTGTAACTGATGGTTAGAGACCCTGAACAACATGGCCTGAAACCGTTTGCAGCGGTGCCGGTGCTTTCCTTCTTTGTGTTCCCTCAAACTGTAATCTTCTGAATTCCTCATCATTTTTGACTTGATCTTTATAACCTTATTTCACTGGATTATACTTTTTCAATAATGTCATCTGACCGTGATCTTTCCGATTACCGCTAATACTTCTGCTACATCTACCACTACGGGATTTGAACTGAAAATAGCATCTATGTGCTAATGTGGTATGGAAACTTTAACTGATGTGCGTACTTCTACGTTGCAGCTGACTGACTTAATTACACCGTAAGAATTAAACTAGTGATGGCAATCTTGTTAGATCTGAAAAGCATTCCATTATCAAATGTAGTCTGAGTAAATTATTTAAAGACTGTTAGCTTTCAGAGATATGTGGTTAATGGTATTAAATATTATATGGTTGGATCGTAACAAAAATATTATATATTTATAGTATCCTGATGAGTAGAAAAATTTAACCTTTTTTGACGTTACCTGATTCATTGTAAGCCACTTCTCCCGACAAATATTTATTAACGTATGATTCAGAAAAATCTATACGTCGTTCAATTTTTCGATACAGTGTGGTGTGATAATAAACTCTTCATGTCATCAATTGCATACTGACTAATTGCAGTGTTAAAATATTAAAATTAAAATTCTTCGTTAAAAAACCGATTGAGAAATAATCATTATTGGAAACTTAATCACATGTCATATTTATTTGTTAAGCTTACTTTTGGCTTTTAGTTAGTTTGTTGCATTGTTTAAATGAGAAAGTATTTTCATGCCGTCTCCTGTTTTTCATACTATAATGAGTAACCTTTATTTCGAGTGTTTTTTAAATGTTACCCTACTATAGCTTGCTGAGGGGTACGGATCAACAGAAACAATGGGAAGCACCACTATTACTTTAGTTGGCGAGTACCGTCTAGGTACTGTTGGTTCCGTGGCACATGGTATAGAAGTGAAACTTGTTGATGTACCAGATTTGGGTTTGGTCGCATTGAGGGATCAAAGAGGAGAAGTGAGATATAAAGTCATGTTTAAAATTATATACTATGTATCCTTCACCATCTCAGTTATATTCTATAACTGACCACATTGAAAGAGTTGAACGACGTAAAGTACGTATTTTTACCAGCTAATGTCATAAAACTGAACGTTTGTAAGCAGCAATGGATGGTTCTTAGTGAAGAAATCTCATTTGGTACACTTATCTTGGATTTAGGCGCATTCCGGAGTTTATGTTTACTCCGCGATTCTAACCTCGTATCGTTTGCCTCAAAAGCCATCGTTTAATTCACTTAGCTACTGAATTATGATAACCACTGACTTGTGAAACAGGATCAAATTTAATTCATTTACATTGACTCTTCAAATCTTCCAGTTGATGTTAAACCTTGCCATTGACCAATTTGCTTTGGCATCTGTGCATCCTGTGTGGAGTGTCCCAACATTGCCATCTCTTCTTATGATACTCGTGATTTATACTTACTATCGAGGTTCAGAATAAATGTATACTAAAAGAGACTGTTCAGTCGGAATTCTAAAGACCAATAGAGAGATTAAAACAACAATGAGATTATTTGACTTTTAACTGCTAATTTTACTCCTAACTCTCAGCCAAGATCAAGAAAGCACATTTTTAAGCGCAACGGAGGCATTCCCATAGATTAACTTTATACACAATAAAAGTAAGTTTTAGATCGTTATCTTGTGGCTTTTTAAATTCTCTGATGAATACTCGACATATTCAACCAATAATCGAACTTAAATGCTGTAGTTAACTTCATACAGTAACTAAGCTATTTTAATTAGCGATTACAGATTTTGTTACCATTTCTTGGATCTTGTGGCCGTTTTTAGAAAGATAGATCAGTTTTAAAGTTAGTTTTCCTTACTGGTTGTCGTTGGCTACAAAAGTAATGACAGCCGGAGAGCCATGGTTAGCTTTTTTATCCAAATTTGAACTCTTCAATAAATGAAATAAATGGAGAAAGTTATCTACACAGTGATGTGTGTTACACCAATATTCTTCATTTGATAACAGTTTTTCAGTTTTGCTTACTTTCAAAAACTTAGCAGGTATTTTGAAAATTGCTTTTAGATCTGCGTCAAAGGCAAACGATGCACAAAAGGCTATTACAAAGAACCAGAAAAATCTGCTGAACTTATTGATAGTGAAGGGTGGTTACACACTGGGGATGTCGGTGAATGGACACCAGTAAGCTCAATGATTAATTTTCATATGTTATGTTTAAGTATTTTGTTTTGAAATACAAATTATTCTTGTTCGATTGATGCAGTATTCCCCGATATTAGAGTCAATTTTATTTAATATTTTGTCTTTAGTCATCTGTAGATCATAACAATTTAATCTTTTCACACTGTCTTGAAACACGAAAACAAAAAATTACAAGGAATTACAAAAAAATGTTTCAACTTTTCAAAAATTATTTTGTGATAAATATGGATTTCGGCATAGAAGAGTAGCCAAATAATAGTTACAAACTCATCATCATCATTTTTGCTATAAGAAACCGCAAGATGGTCATCAGTGCTCTTCGTTTGAATGATGGATTTTGATACTTATCATTCACATCTATTAGGGTCTTCTTTTGTTTAACAATTCGGGCACACATTCATAAGATGATTGATAATTCTGTTTTGTACTTCGATCTGCATGCAAAAACTTCGAGAGCCTATCAATTTTTATACATAATCCTCAATTTTCGCTAAACGGACTTCATTCTCGAAACATAGTTTTTAGAATACATATTTCAAGTCATTTTAAAATATTGCGTAGTGTTTGTGACGATGGAGTTTATTTTACTGGACGATTTCTGGGTGAAATGATTGAATGAGTTTGGTAGAGTCTCGTTCTCTGAGCCAGATGGTTTAGTCTTAGGGCTTTCATTGTCCTACTGAGAAATATCATCAGCTCAAAATTCAAGTAGAAGTGAGACATCCGAATTGCTCAAGATCTTGATTACTTATATTTACCCTTGAATATGTTATTTTCTGCATTTTTACTTTATTTGCTCCCCCGTTTGATCTTATTCCTAATCCTATATTTGTTCATGAGAATCAAAATTAAGATTCAAACGAATATGCGTTAAAAACCAATAGATCGCCAACCAAAATCGAGGTTGACAGAACAGTTTGTTAGTCGTATGTGGAGAAATTCAAATATTTCAATTATTACTTAATTTTGTGCGCATTGTAGTGTTCAGAAAAATAGTGAAACTTCACGACTAAACCATCCATCTCAGAGAAAGTGTTACGCATGAGCGTAAACATGTCATTTTGATATGCTTGAATTATTATTACGAGTTTACCTTAGTCGGAAAACGAGAGTGAGGATCGAGGATCCGGCGACACGACATGCTACTCTAATCTGATTGTCCTAACCCCCATTGACTGAAAGAAGAAGACTTGACATGAAGTAGAACCTGTTTTCTACAAGCATGCATAAAGTACAAGGTCCGAGTCCAGAAGAGAATCAGCATCCCATACTAGGGATCCGCGTCCGGTTACGGTCCATAAAACGTTACAGATAATGCGTATTTATACATTCAGGTCGAGAAGGAAACTGCATCTAAGTCTGTGACATTAACAGTTAAGACGACCAATACGAAATAACATTGGAGTACGTGACATTGATATCTAGTAAGACCATAAAATTAACCAGTAAGGATTAACCAATAGGAATTGACCAATAATTCTTTTAGGATATTGGATGAATATCCTAACAGAAAGAAACTCTACCAAAATAATGCACCTAAACAATAAATCTCCACTTTCTCAGATTCAGAGTTATGCCATGGAATGTCGAATGATCTAAGCTGAACTTCATTGCCTTCTGAAGATAAGCTTATCTTGTTAAGACATTATAAGGTGATGACGGCTTATTTTCTATTAAACGCTAAAATTTTATAGGTTTATCTGAGATATTCAAGTTATTTGAATGCGATGTAATATAATTATATCTATTAATTTTCGACTTAGGAAGGTTCATTGAAAATCGTCGACCGCCTAAAAAGCATCTTCAAATTGGCCGAAGGTGAATATGTTGCACCAAAAAAAGTAGAAATGGTTTATCAGTATTCTAAACTAGTAAGCCAGATATTCGTTGATGGTAAAAGTGATAAAAACTATCCAGTTGCGATTGTTGTTCCTGATTTTATTGAATTGCGCTGTTGCCTAAATAATGCAGGAGTACTACATTGCTCAAAACTTTCGGACTATGAACTTTGTCGAAACAAAGTTGTGAATAAATTTGTTCTAGATAAAATGAATGCTGTAGCTGCTGAACATTTACTAAAAAGCTTTGAAAAGGTGTGAAACATTTTTTTTGTATGGAATTTTACAAAAGATGTACCAAAAATTATGTATTTTATTCAGTTGTGTTGTTTATAGTTGGTGGGCATGTATAAAAACAATGATTGTGTTACCTAACTAAAGAAAGTTCCTAGCAACAATAGTATCTTGATCATTATAGCCTTAAACTTGCACCAGAAAAAGCTAGTAGAATATTGTTTTACTAGTGTTAATTTATTGCCTACTGAACCTGACTGTAATTTATAATTTACATTTCATCGCTTGTAAGCACACATTGATTTACATACAGATTTACATATCACGATCTGATTTTTTATTGAGTCTTAGAAGACACGTCCTATTGAACAATGGAATAGTGAAATATTTTCTAAGAAATACATAGAGGATATGATTTTTGTATATCGGTGGACAACGGTGGACGACGAATATGAATGCCAATGTGAACTAATCGCACGTTAAGTTAAATATGGTAACTGGTAACTAAAATTACATAGGCCAAACCACTCAGTGAGATTAGTAGACAAAACAACTATACAGATTGTGATCAGAGTATCCAGCCTTAAGCTTTAATCTAAACGACAGTGTAACTAAGTCACAGTAACTAGTCGCAGCTACATCGTAGCTGATGTCCAGAGTATGCTCATAAACTGTTCATAACGAAATTCCCTTGGTCTTTTGTCCTAGTTACTAATGCACTGAGTATCAGTAAATAAGTGTATTATTAAGAAGTCATATTAGCATACAATAAATTAAATTTATTTAACTTTTTTGTATTGGACTTAAACAGTTTTTCTTTTAAGTAGTATCCTTATTAATTATTTCACCTACTCTATTCATAAAGTATACTGCTTTTTTTTTGCTTGCTTTAACACTCTTCCTTAATTTTAGTTACTTGACATTCATTTGCTTGTTCATGGCATGCATATATGTTTATGTTTACAACTTAGCTGAAGACAATCGTGAATATCACACATAATACTAATCAATCCAATCTGATACATCGATTCTTTTCTCTGGACAAGTTAATTGCTAAAATATCTATAATATGAAAATACCCCTTCCGATAAAACTGAGTTTTTTCGATATGATATACCTAGATTATTCTCTGTTCAATACAGAATTATTCCTTTAGAAGATAAGGTTGACTTCTGCGTACTGATTGTTCTCTGAGTTTAGGGAATCTCATATAAACTATTAGAAAACGTAAACTGAAATGATCAGTAATATAAAGTGCAAATAACTTCCGGAGTCTATGTATTCATTTAAGTAGCTACCTTCAAACGAATTCTATGTTTAATTATTCCAGATAGATTTTAGAATTAACGAATATGTTGGTTAACATGTTTGCTTTATTATGGCCTAAAAAAATGAAGTATATTTGTAGGCTGCATCAGTTCGATTATAGGTATTTTTGAAACAACCCCCAAATATCGCAGAACAACTGAGTAAATAATTATGGAACTATAGTACTAGGCTTTTTGCCTGTCTAACAGAGTTGCGAATCTCCATTTATTCAGATACTTGTGACATTTTTTACTTATCTGCTTCCATAGGCAATGCTTGATGGTGTAGAAGTGTATTAGAACAATGTGTCCAAAACATAACATCTTTAAATGTTCATTTGGACCATGCTTGTGGATGCAGACTCTTTGGCTGAGGCCTTCACTATTACCGCGACCATTAGTTGCAGTCGCTGGATGACATATGTCAGAACTTGGATTATGTTTTTCATTCACACATAACTTCTTGTTCCTGTTTCTTAAGTAATTACCAGTGCAATGTTTTATTCAATGAGATTGTTGACTACTGAGAGCTATCGTTACCGTTTCTAACAATACTATCAGGTCTCTCTATTTTATGGTCAGAAATCCTATTTTATCTGTTTATATGCCAAAGTTTCGAAATATGTGCTTGCATACGGAAAAGGAAAATTACCATGGAAACGTTTTGATGATATATTTGAATAAGTTTCAATTTTTGTTACTCTATTTCATCTGAATGTTACGAAGGACAACAGTAGTTAGTTACGTGTGAAGTCGTTCAGAAAATGCTTTCCTCATCTAGGTTTTTGGGATGATATATTTTAAGAGTTAATTCGTAAAATATGAAAACCATATCGTAAATCGTTCATTTGCAAAATATCAACTCACCATATCGAACTGGACTGTTCCTGTTGCAAACGTCAATCCATTGTCTGATATTTCACTGTTCATGCGTTTCATACAAATCCCATTGTGTTCCCGCTCTTCCTTTCTTGATCTTCCCCCATCTTCTGCTGCCAGACATTACGTTTTTACTCGCGTCAGATACTACTTATAAGTAGCGCGCACCACAGTACCATTTCGTGCTTTCTCGTCAGTCACATACAAACAATATGTTATTCGTGTAAATACAGTTTTGAAGATAAGGTCAAAATTTCTTATTTCTTATTCTTCTTATTCAGAAAAGTCCAACTTTATGTGTTCAAAAACAAATGTATGTTGACCTTTGTTTACCATGGTTCTAGTGAGTGAATATCATGCTAAATAAGAAATTTTGACCTTATCTTCAAAACTGTATTTACACGAATAACATGTTGCTTGTATGTGACTGACGAGAAAGCACGAAATGGTACTATCTCACAAAATATGTCTTCTCATTTTTTTGTTCAAATTTATCAAAGGGAACCACTGTTTTGGATAATATATTTTAGATAATTTGGTTGCGAATAAAGATATAAATAATGCATCCGTATTAATTCTTAACTGAACTTTGATATTCCACCTTTCCTAATTTCATAATTATTTAATGCATTTTATTTTCCGCAGGTTCAGGCAATTCATTTGACAGATGAGGCATTCAGCGCTGATAATGGCTTACTAACTCCAACAATGAAATTAGCACGTATCAAAGCTCGGAGTTATTTTTCCAAGATAATAGACAGTTTATACACCCAATCGTAGGGTTCTTTTACTTCTGGTCTGAAATGAATTTTGTGATCGCCAACTTACGATACTATTTATGAATGAAACAAGTGTGTTTTGCACTGACACCTTTTGTGGGTGCTATAATTTGGACTGTAATATTTTCGAATGCAGTCGATGTTCGATGTTGGTGCTTTGGGTAGAGTATTATCTGGTTAAGAACGTCTGTAGTGTGAATTTTATGATTTAAATTCATTTTTCATATTTGTCGTACTTTGTTTTATTAAAATTTTAAGCAATAATTCATGAGTTAGAGTGCTATATCGAGATGAGGTGTAATGCTGGACTGTGTAAAAACTATGTCTCTATGAGAAGACAAAATTTAGTTATCTACACACTACACTCAGTTTTTAGTTTAAAATACGCACTATATTTTTTATATTTCTATCAACTGTTAGTAAGTTCAGAGTTTGTTTCTACAGGTTGCTACTAAAATATACACTCAGCTTTATTGATTTCGTAAAGTAACGAGATGATATTTAATAGCGAACTAAACTTCTTAGGTCAATCAACTTAAATCTGTTTAAAATACTCTTAAGAGAAACAAAGTTTGCTCATCAAAAAACCAAGGATAGATTTTAGTTCCCACAATTATCGTTTATGAGAACCGAAGGAAAGAGAGGACAAATAAACTTGTACACTAAAATGAGGTGATTATACTTTATTGCTCTTCATTATCAAAAGATAAGTTAAAATCAGAGGATGCACTTGAATAGACGAAGTGAGCATCGTAACTGTAACTAATCTTAATTTCTTTTAAATGATCTTTGAAACTAATTATTGCTTATTCTTACGCGTTATTTTATCGTTACTTACCAAACTAACTCTCTTTGATTCATCGAAATTCATAAAGCTTCCATTTAATCCTAAGGAAAATGAGAGAATTTTTATTACAATCTGATAGTTTTTTACTAATAAAATCAATCGAAAACGAACAACTAAAAACATTTGGAAGTCAGTCTTACCTTCGTTTGATCCTGTAAACAAGGTTGCGGTACCTTTATTTATGTCTTTATTTACTCTTCTCAAAGATATGGAACAATTAAGGTATACGTAAGCAAAATATTTTCGGCTCCTGCATTCTACCCTGGAGACAGCTGTTATTATACGTATGACTAGTTTTGATGCGAAACAGCTTTATTTAGAACAGTGTAACCCTTGGTTAATTTTTGATTATTTCTAGTACATTTTGGAATTAATCTTTTGTTGTGTGTCATAACTGCTAAGGTACAGATTGTGATTTAGTGCCAATAAAATAATTTAAAAGATGCACATTCACAATGATTGTACTTCTCTTACGTTATCAGCACCTGGACACCTCGCGATTCCATGCTTGTAAGTATATCACTTACTTACTTACTTACTTACTTACTTACTTACTTATTTACTTACTTACTTACGCCTGTTACTCCCAATAGATTAATGACCGCAAAACACTATTCTCCATCCTACTATGTTCTTGGCCTCCCTTTCAGTTCTGTACAATTTTCGTTCATCATTTTCATGTCTGTCTCCATTACTCTGCGTAATCTGTTACTTGTCCTTCCTATTTTACTTTGTCATTGAGGGTTCCAAGTGACGACTTGCCTTGTGACACACTTGAATAATTTCTGAAATGTGTGTCCTATCCACTTCCAGCGCTTCTTTCTAATTTCCTCTACCACTGGAATCTGGTTTGTTGTCTTCCACAGTGGGCTGATGCTGAAGGTGTCTGACCACCGGATCTGAAGTATTTTGCATAGACAACCGTTAATAAACAACTGTATATTTTGGTTGATGGCTTTTGTAGTTCTTTGAGTTCCCGCCACATACTGTGGAACCGTCTAGATATTTGTACTGAAAATCCTGACTTTGGTGTTGGTTGATAGTTGTTTTGAGTTGCAGATGTTCTTCAATTGTGGGAATGCACCCCTTTCTCTGCCGATCCGCTCCATCACATCTGTATCTGATCTAATTTGCTCGTCAATGATGCTGCTCAGATATGTAAAGGATTTTAAGTCCTCCAAGGCATCTCTATGAAGAGAGATGTAGTTGGCGTATGTTCTGTTGTGTTGGAGAATCTACCATTTCTCTTTATGTATGTTGAAACCTGTTCCAGAGGCTTCAATGTCTTTATTGTAATCGTCGGTATTTGCATAACATTGGATTACGTCCTTTGAAATGCCCTCTTTCTTTGTTTTGAGGGTTGCTTTGATGATCCTTGGTCTATGAGATTTCCATCATATTGATGCTAGACCCTATCAAATGCTTAGTCTAATTCATTTCAGTGATACTAATGGGCTTTAGCATGTTCACTTAGTAAAACTTTCCCTGACTTTAGTAGGTAACTTCTTTGCAGTTCTTTTCCTGTTAACATGAAGTTCTATCTATAAGCTCATGCGGAACACTAAATTCGATGCGAACGGTGGATTTCTGCTTAGCGGTTCAGTAAATGTAACTGGTGTCTCGGTAATCTTCATTTTTGATCTATTTGCTGCAACTTTATTTTGCTAATGGTATACATCTTAGGAACCAATGGCACGCTCAATAAAATCGTGAGGGTTGACCTTGTTTCGACATTTCTGGTTGGTTTTTCAACCCAGTATCATGTTTTTGATATCGCTTAAACGTAGAACGGCAAATCAGATTCTCTAAACGGATTTGCGATCAGGTGGTGATCAACATGTGCGCGCACAAATTCATAACATCTTAAAATGTTGATGGGTAACCGTTATATAGTTTACACATCATATCATAAACTGTAAGCCACGTGCGAAAACTCATAGAGTCTAATTATGAATCTGTTTCTATTTCTTTCTACATGTCGCGTGATGGGATTCTTTGATCTATGTATCGTAGCATGTTGCAGTTGGAGTATGCACGTCCGACACTGGGATCTGAATGATTAAATATCGCAGACCGTCAAACCATAACTTGAAATTGCACAGTGATATAGTTATTCGTATATTCAACAATTATAGTGAGTTCATTAACTGGTACAACAAATACTGGTAACAATCTCGATTGTAACTGTGTTGATAACAGTGATAATAATAAATATTTTACTAACTTTGACCAGATATTCGCATAGATTTCCAACCTTGATCACGAGATGTTAACCTAGTACTAACCACAACCAAATATCATATGGAAATTCCATCTTGAGAAATTGAAAGCAAACACGATCTAACAAGGCGAGTGATATTCACACTACAGAATCCTTGGCATATGTTATCAAGATAATGTTTAAGAGAACAAGTGAAAATTTTAAAAATATCTGTAATTTACTTGCAAACTATCATGACGTTTGGACAGGACAGTTATACATCGTTTTAATTATTCGGCTCCTGGTTCGAACTCGAAATACACTATGTTCCACTGCGCTCAAAAATTTCTTCATGACTTTCGTACTGGTTCATGCGTGACTACTGGAGCACGAATCCGACACTGCTGGCTGTTACTAGTTAGTCTATGTAATACCGATTATCCTGAATATCACAGTCGGTTTAGTATTTGTCTATCGGTTTGGTCTTCACGTTTAAAAAGGTCTATTTGAAGTTTTGTTTCATTCAGAAGCATCACTATTTTAGTACTAGGTGTAATATATTTGTCGAACTTATATGGTTGTGACGTCACTACTGTGAATAAGTGAGCACGGTTGCCTGTCATATCGTGTTTGCTGAAGTCCATCCCTCTGAAAGATAATAGACTGCTTGCTATCACAGAAGCAGATTTATTCCTTTTCACATTTAACTAAAGTACGGAATATAACGATTATATTCAGACCTCATCTTCTCTATTGACAGGTGAACTAGCTTGGTGTTTTTGAGCAATAGATATCCGGTCTATTAAACTTTCCATCATTTTCAGTGTTGGGATAATCCTGTTCTTTGCAGACCTTAATGCTTTATTTGTGGTTGTCGCGATTTAATCACTATTGTAAGGATCCATATATTCCTTGAGTCATTTGATTTTATTCTAACTACTTATGCATTTATACATTTTGTGATGTCTACGTAAAGTACGAGGAATTAGTTCGTATATTGTATCCTGAGAATTTTATATTGCCCTTAACATATAACAATGAACTGATCAATTATTATTATCTGTGAAACACTGATGCTGTCCAAACAAACACAAAAGGCACTTAGTGGATGGTAATCTCATGGACCCAGGATCATCAAAGTACCCTTCATAACAAAAGAAATAGGGCATTACTGTTATAATGCGTCACCAAATATTATAATCCAAAATGTGGCCACTCGAAATCATACCAACTAACCAATCTCAAATATTCCACTACGTGTCCAAAGACTGTTTCCCAAATCTCCAATATATCAGAACACAGCACTGTTAGATAAAAGTTGTTTATGGGATCCGAGAACAGAAGAAGAATAATAAAACTTTACAGACAATGCATATTTATACATGTAGGACGACTGTAAATGTTGACCAATAAGAAAAATTCACGTGACATGTTTGAAAAGTCTGGAAACATATAAAAACATAGATTTCTCGTCGAGTGATAGATCTAGACTTACAAAATAATTTTTAGTATATTTTTATGAATATCTTACCACCGTCCCTTTAGATAAAAACAGTAGCGACGCATTCGTGGTTCCAAATGAAGTTTCTTTGTCTTCGTTTACGATCCGACCACCTTCGTGGTAACAACCCAGAATCTAAAGAATGATCTGCTTGAATAGATGACTCAGTCGTCTCTGTTTTAGGTATTGGCGGAATTCGAAAAGCATCCAATAGCAAGTCGAGTGGAACGCGTTTCGTAATTTCACATTATTCCTCACCTTCCCTTGGCCTTAGTTGATTATGGTGCCTAGTCCAAATATCTTGGTTCCCTTTGACAACATACATGACGATCCCATGTTTCTTTGTGAATTCACAATCTATCCATCTGTAACATTCTTGTCTGTAGTCTAGCGCATTCACATCGTTGATAATTCGAGTGATCTGCGTCTTAGGGCTTTTCTGTGCCAATCACTTGAATGTCGTCGCACTACGAACTGTTCGTAGCTCTCGTCCTATAAGCATCTCAGCAGGAGATTCGAAGCTTGGTAGTAAGTCATCTGGGGTCGAGCGGTACGCAAATAGAAATCGTTCTATGACATCGTTTAGGGTCCCATCCCCCTGCTTTGAACATAGCTCTCTAAATTTTGTCTACGAACCCTTCA